AAGGAGAAAAATATTAATAACTCTTGCTTTTTTTTAGTATTAATTACAAGAACACCGACATCGAATTGTGTAAAAGTAAGAAGGGAAAAATAAAAGAAAAAAATTGGAAACTGGAGCTTATAAAATTTGAATTTGAGCTTATAAAAATGAAATTGATTTTTCTAATTTAAAAAATTCATTTTGGACGAAACAATTAAATATAAATAAATTTCAGATTTCATTATTTTAATATAAAAGTATCACTGGTTCATTTAATTTTAAGCAATTATTTATTTATTTTGCCTCAATGTGAATAAATGCAAATTATATGTTATCCATATAAAAATAGACTTTATCGATGCTTTACGTTATTTATAATTCAAAATTTCATATTATATCTCCATGATATTATACCCTTGTATTAAATAAAATAAAAATTTTAATTAGAATACATTGCATATTTAATTTACTTTACTCTTTTTACTAAATTCATGAAATCAAATATTTAAAAATTATATGATAAAAAATGTAACTTAGAAGTCAATAATAAATTTCGAAACCTATTTATTATTAATTTATTATTAATATTACTTAAAATAAGTTTTGAAAAGTTTCAATTGATTTAAGCAATAATACGTGTAATGTTTATTGTGAAATTTAATCTTATTCTATTTAAACTTATTGTATGTGAAGTTTTATATGTATTCATATTATATAAATTACACTACTTTCGCACGTAAATAATAATATTGTTTAAATATAAAGTTTTGTAAGTAATTATTAATTAATTAAAGCATTCTATATTCTAATTTTTAATATACTTGGACATTTAGGAATTTGATTTACGTAAAAAAAATTTATTTTTCAATTATTTTATTTAAATCTTTATTTAAGTATCTATATTTCAGTCATGCTCGATAGAAGAGAGAAAGAAATAAAATTCCTAATGTGTATTGGACTACAGTGGAGTGAAGAGAAAGAGAGAGAGAGAGAGAGAGAGAGAGAGAGAGAGAGAGAGAGAGAGAGAGAGAGAAAGATATAGATAAATGAAGGCCTTCAGTTGATCGAGCGTGTGACTATCGCAGTATAAATACATCACGAATTAATACGAATCGAGTGTAGTCTTCTTCCTTATGTCTGTCACCCTCAACTCATTCTTATACGATCACATACTTATGGAAGAACTAACTTTAATAAATGAATCATTTAGATCTTTGGGGCCAAACTTGATTTATTTCGTTCGTTTGTTCATTCATTGATTTGTTGTTAGAAATATAAATATTACGGATTAGAATTACGTGATTTGTGTAGCATAATCTTCCTGCCATTTTATATATTATTATTAAAATTTCTTACATTTCTAAATTCGAAATTCGATAATATTATATTACGGTAACAACGTTCTTAACATAGTTTAACGAATAAAATATAAACCTCACTTTCTCTAAAAACCAATAAATTCATTTTTAATTCCTTTTATAAATAATACTAATTACATAACAACAAAAATCTTGTTGAATTGACAATAAACTATAAACTAAAAAAGTAAAAGTAAAAAGTAAAAATTTTAATACGATTAAAAAATTATTTTTCTAAAGTGAGTCATAGAAAATTTTTCAAGCTTGATTAATTACAGACTGAAATTTAATATAAAGCATTTTTATTAATGTGAAATATATTATGTATATACCCACACACATCATTTTATCAAATACGTGCATTATATACTTGTGTATTAATTCAAATAAACTCGTGTAGTGCTGAATTCATAAAATTTAGAAAATTTGTATTAAATATCAAGCCTTCAGTGCTATACCTAAAATATGTTTTGTAACTTTGTCGCTTTATTCAATCCGATTATCGTAGTTCGTTAGACATTTATGTAAACTTGTAATTCATGGATTTGTTGATAATACTGAGCTTATGAATATAATTTTATTAGAAAATAATTCAATTAAGAATATGAACAATATAAGTATTTGATATACGTAATTCAGAATTGATTTAAAGATGAATCATTAGTTTTAAAACTAAAATTGAAGGTTTGATAACATTTATCGTTTGCGGTTGACCTTGAAATTTATTGGCACGCATACTCATTCGTACATACATTCTTTATTTCTTTCTATAGCTTATTTTGAAGCCTAATATTTATATTGTATATTACAATATTTTTATATTGTATTATGTATCGAGAATTCCACTTTATTAAATATGTTACATTTAATTTAATATGCAATTGTATTGTAATAATTTACATTAAAGTAATTGAATATTATATTTACTTTATTCGTCAATATAAATTTCCTCTTTCTTTCAGACTATTATATAATAACTAGTAAATAACGATAAAAAAAATCATTTATTTATACAGTTTAAAAACATTATAAAATTGTTTTTCAAGTTAATATGAATTTTGAAAATTTATTTGATGTTATTAGATTTATTAATGAATGAAATGAAATCTTAAACATGTATTTTAGAAAATTATAAACATTTATTGAAATATTAAATTAATTAAATTGATAATCTTTTTTTTACTTTTGAAATTATTTAATTTCATATTAATATTTTTAGGATTCTCAATACATATGTACTTGTTAGCAATTTTGCTTTTATCTATTTTTAATATTTATAGTAACTAGTAAGAAATTTTCAAAATCCAATATCTAATAATATTCATATACTATTGAATTGAATTGAACTATTGAATAGTGACATTATGTAAAGCATCCAGTAGCAATTTTTATATGAAAAATATTACCATTTTGTATGTTACTTTTAATAGTTCCTCTTAGTTTTAAAATAAATTTGAAATACATAATTACTAAAAGGAAAATACTGAATCAACACGTGAAAGTATAATAAGTAAAATAAGTTACAATGAAAGATTTGATTCCTATTCTTATAGATTTATTATAATTTACTTATTTATTTATTTATTAATTTTTAATTAATATGGGTTTAACTAAATCATGAATATTGGCATTTAAAAATTTAGTGTTAATTTTAGATAAATTATTTTAAAATTTTGAATATTTTATCGCGACATTAATAAAATTAATAATTTAATATATATTTAATAATAATCATTAATAATACCTAAGGTAATATAAAAATAATAAATAAAAATACTGGATGTTTAAAATATTATCTATGTAAAACTGTTGATCAATTTTTGAATCTAGATTAATACAATAGAAATTGAATTTTAAAGTTGGTCTAGAGTAAAAATTATTTTATTCTTCGTTTACTAATCAAGAGTAAATGAAAAAAATTGATCTCGATCGTCAAACTACGAATGTTCTTCCCAACATTATCCATTACAAATAGCTCAAAATGTATACGTTCATCTCCAGATTTGTGCGTACATTTGGTTACGGCCTTGTGCACGAGATGCCTGTTAAGATGTTCGCGGAAAATTTCGCTTGTAATAAAGCGAAGTCGATGACGTATGGATATTAAAAAAGCAAGCTGATAGCGTAAATTCGGATACGAAGGAACTCGATGGGTCTGCAACCAATGGACTTTAGCAAATGAACATGGAATTTTCCGGAACGAATTTTACCAGGTGGCTCAACACCATCAGGTCGCGTGTCGATGCCTACGTATATTCACACAACAGTAAGTCCCTTACACATCTCCCATGGAGACATTGGTTAGCGTATGCGAGTTTTTTTTTTTTTTTAATGCTATGCGAATTGCAGTTGTTAGCTAGCGATCATGCGTATGCATGCCGACGATTATCTTGAGAACGGCATTATATAGTTAAAGTTTTATATGTGTTAATGAGTGTAAATCATAGATAATGTAAATCGTTTTTTGATATTGGATACATGAATAAGAGTAGTAAATAGAATTTATGTATGTAGTGATAACAAAAATTAGGCATTTATTTAAGTATTTATAGTGAATTGTAATCGACTAGGTATTGAATATATAGATACAATTCGTACTAAGATTCTATATAATAATTTGCAAATAATTATTTTTCTGTTCGCGTTTGTAAAATCAATTTTTACAAATTATCTTCTAGTTATAATATTATCAGGTAAGTATTCAAATAATGTAGGACAAGCTGGAAACCAATTTCATTACATATATATTTTTTTGTTATCATAATTGCACATATGGATTTAATTATAATGAATAGGGTTACAAGTTTAACATAAAATTGAAATTAAAATTATTAAAATAAAATTTTTAAGTTTAAGTTTAAGTTGAATTAACATGTACAGTTACTTCAAGAATAGAAAACTTCGAGTCTTTTTAATTGGCTGAAATTGAATGATTATCTACTTAATGCAACAATAAATTCAGTTAATAATCTAACACTCTACATTTTATTCCAACACCTAATACATCCTAAATTTAAAGTAAATTATTTTAAAATGAAAATTAAAAAGTAATAAAAATGAACATAAATACTTTTATATGCTTAAACATATTCACCAATTTCATAGACCACAACATTCCGAACCCTGCGGTTCAGAGTTATAAGTATAATAAGGTACTTCAAGTAGAAATCTAAATCATTAAATAAGAATAGAATATTATATATATAAATAAAAAACATTTCAATATATAGAAAGTAATATTTCCATTTTGGACTATTAATTTACTTAATTATATAACGAATGACTAAGTAATCCTAAAATTTGTTACAATTCTTAATACTTTATTCATTTTATTAAAATTGAATAAAAAAAATTAATAACGTCACAGTATGTATATGTATTAATAACGAAAATTAGACATTAAGCTGTAAGTATACACGAGCTTCTAATAAATCCAGTGTCTTATAAATTATTTCTACCCTCAATAGTTTCATCCATATTTTCATGTATAACTCGAAGATAATATTTATCCTGTCGTAATTTCGTGATATAGAATGTGCAACGAAATCCCCTCGACAAAATTCTGTTACATCAAAATATACATATTAATATTGGATCGGTGAAACAAATATCCAAAACAGCCACTTAAATTATTTTTGTTTTAGTATAAATTTTTATTTCCAGGAACGGGAAGAACAGAAAATGGCGGTTCATCGGGGGAGCAGTCTGGTGGACACTCGGGCGATCCTCCGGATGTGCGGATCATTTTTGTCAATGCGCCACATCAGCCGGCCACCTACAAAAATAATCACATCTCTACAGCCAAGTATTCCCTACTTTCCTTTATACCGTCCTTTCTCTTTGAACAGTTTCGGAGATATAGCAACTGCTTTTTTCTATTCATCGCGCTTATGCAGGTAAGCAGCACATTCTTCATTTGTCTCTTAAGTGTCTATTCAAGTCTGAATTTTAAAAGGCTCATTAGAGTCGACGAATGTACTCTAGTCTGAATTACGACAATATCCTTTATTACATATTCCTGTATGCCTTAAAAATTTCCAAGAAAATTTTTCCACCGTATTTTCATCCGGTATATATCATGTATGCCATTTGAGAGACTATAATAATCCAATAAAAGTCTGAAAAAGTGATTTTAATAAATTTCCATTTATGAACTAAACAAACATGGTTACAAACATGATTAATATATTTGCCAATGTTCAAACATTATTTTGTACTAATACAATGGTCTATAATTTTTAAACGAACATATTAAAGTTAAAAAAATTATGTATTCTTTTGACATTAAATCAACCGATACTTAAAGATAAATTATTTGAAATAAATAATTCAAAAAGATAACATTTTTATGAAATTTTGCATAATGGAAATTTTTAGGGAAGAGATAAATAATCGGATCCAAAAAGATAAATGGATAATTTTAATAAAAAATGTTTTATTTCCGTTTTATTTAACATAAAATTGAATATATAAATAAAGATAAAACTTTTCATGTTAAAGTTAAAATTGGTTATTCAAATAACTGAAGTGAAAAGTTTTTTGTATTGACATAGAAATGTAATTTTGAAAAATAATTGTTTATGTTGCACGTTTTTTACTCTCGTCCTTGTTATGCTACATATTACAAGTTTTTTGGTATTTATCATAAAATATTTTTCATAATCAATATTGCATTATTTATTTAATTAAATATGTGCTTCGTATTATAATTACACTACTCTGTAAAAAGAAACATTACAGTGCCCAAATAGAAAAAAAAATGATAATTAATAATATGAAATATTAATCAGTCTGAAGGTTTGTCATCGTTGTTAGTTATAACCGTTGTTTAGTAAAGCGTCAACCGTGTTATTTTGATATTTCAATAGGTGTAATTGAATTGTTTTAACATTGTTTTATAATTCATATAAGAGATAATTCCAAAACATTAAAAAACAAATTAATTTTTTTTAGTAGGCCAACTTTTTAAACTCTTTATTTTTAATTTTCATACTTTTTTGTTTTTTCTTAATTTTATATCTATTAAAATATTTTACATATCTTATATTTCATATTAATTTTATCATTAATTAATTAAAACACTCGAAATGTAAAATCGTTTGATATACTTAAAAATGTATAGGATCTATTAGATTATTATGTAGAATATTTATAATAATTTTTTATCAATTTTATTACATCAATTTTTCTTAAATATGTATTAGCTTATCTCAGTTATGATTATCAATATCCTATAAAGTATATGAAAGCAGAATATCAGAATGAAACATTATCATTAATAGCTTTTTTAAAAGAAAAAGTCGATTTCGTGTTTGTATTTTTTTTATAATTTAAAACTAATTATTAAAACTTTAACTAATGTTTTAAAAATTGAAAAATTTGAATTGCAGCGTATTAATAAAAAAATTAATTTTAAACTGAAGATTATAATAGTCATTATTATATTTATTGAAATATGAATATTAAAATTAATTTATTCGTTGTTCGTTTATATAGTATTAGTTAATTTCTATAGTAAGTAAATTATTAATTTTTATCAAGAACAAGTAAATGGCATAATAAATTAAGTTTCTTACAATTCACAATTTACAAAAAACAATATTGTAAAATAATATTAAATTATTTTTCAGCAAATTCCTGATGTTTCACCCACGGGACGTTATACGACGCTCGTTCCACTTATTTTCATTCTTAGCGTATCTGCTCTCAAAGAAATTGTCGAAGATATTGTACGTAATCAATAAGTTTCTAGTAAAACATTTTCAAACAGTTGTTTTGATTGGCACGTTTTTCAAAGCAATGTTTTATAAATCTAAAATACTAAAAATTTTATTAAATTAGTTAAAAAAATAATTTTTATGATAAGAATATTAATTTATTTATTAATGTATATTTTCAAATCATCGAGAAATGTATATATCAGTTTTTATAAAAAATTTAAGTACAATATTGGCATTTATAATATTTTTAATTGTTATGCTGATACATTAATAATAAATAAATTAATTTAAATATTTTTAACACAAATATTCATTTTATTACAGAAAAGGCATAAAGCAGACGATGAAATAAATATGCGTGAAGTAGAGGTTCTCAGAGATGGTCGGTGGCAATGGTTTCAATGGAGGCATGTTACTGTTGGTGACGTTGTGAAGGTAAAAACAAATGAAAATTATAAAAAAATTAAAGTAACGTGATGAAAATATCCACTAAGAACTTCAATATTTCATTACAATTTTTGTCATTTTATAATTAAGAGTGACTCCATATAATTTTCTAAAAAATTATATACACTTTAACGTTCAAATTTATGAAGGTAGAGGGTAATATTTATATATCATTCGAGTATTAAAAATAATGTTAAAGGTGATTATATAATATTCAATAAGAAGCATATTTTCAAACGAAATTGTTTTCAGGTTAACGTATTTTGACATAATAAGAGCTCGACTAAAATATTATTTTTATAATCATATAACATTAGATAAATTTCATATTTATTTTTTTTTATTATTAAGATAAAATTATTGCATTATTTTTACTATATTATATTTTTCAATTAAATTTTATTATATGAGAAATTAATGTGTTTAAATGTTTAATTATTATGTTTTATTGAAACCTTTATAATTATGTTAGTTAGGAAGCCGGATATCGCAAATATTTATACAATAGCAAGTTACAGTTTTTTTTATAATTAAAAATAATATATATTGGATATGCTAGAAAATTTATCTTTAATGATATTGATAAAATAATTAATTAATAATATTAATGAATGAAATATTAAATTTATTAGAATATTAAAAAAATAATTTTTTGATAATATTACATTAATATGATATTCGTGTTAAATTAACGTTTATTTAGAACATGTTTTATACTTTGAGTACATATTTACTGACAAATCATAGAAATATCAAAAAGTTATATCAAATATAAAAATTAAAAAATATTTTAATAATATAATGTAGGTTATATAATGTAAAATTATAAATTTTACAATGTTCTCATTTATTAATTTATTACAGATACACAATAACAATTTTTTCCCCGCCGATCTAATACTATTGTCATCATCAGAACCTCAATCAATGTCTTTTATTGAAACTGCAAATCTTGATGGCGAAACGAATTTGAAGGTCAGGCAAGCACATTCGGAAACAACCAATCTTCTTGATACAGTTGAGTTGATGAATTTTCGTGCCAACATTCAGTGTGAACCACCTAATCGACATCTTTATGAGTTTAATGGGATTCTACGAGAAACGAATAAACGGTTAGTGATTATATATTAGTTAAAACTTGAATTTGAAAGAGCAAGTAAGGTTTAAATACGATTTAAATACGATAAAATCATTAAATAAATTTAACATCGAAAAACAAATAAATATTTAGTAATAACTGTTTGATTAAAATAATTTCTTATAATTAGTTATATTGTACATTATTCTGTTATATTTTTTATTTGCATCTGTAATTTATAGAAATAATATTTGTTAGAAAAATAATAAATATATTATATGTAATATCTTTTATATTTATAAATTTTATAGTTCCAAATTAGTATTCCTTTAAGATCTCAAAACATTGAAAAAGCAGTATTTTATTATATTACTTATACATATGAAAACATTGTTATATATATATATATATATATATATATAGCTGAACAATAATATTTATAAATATATAAGATATAAAATGTAAGATTATTTTTATGCATATATATTATTATAACTAATAATAAGTTAAATAAATATATAATGATTAAATGAAAAACTTGTCGAAATGTATCGTAGATGGTAAAAATGTTATTTTAATTAAATATGCAATAGATAATTAATTAATTAAAGGAATAAAGTCAATTCTCTAACATTAAAGTTTCACAATTAAAACTTTATGAATGGCATTTTATAATAATTTTCACGTGTATCTTATCTAGACTTTATATAACGAAAGTTTGAAAAGTAAATAGTAGTAAGTTTTTCGAAATACATTTCTATTTTAAAGGAAACGAATTGGAAGTTTAAATTAATATAAATTTGTATAATATTATATATAATAATATATGGTATATAATAACATAATGATTTTCTGCGAAATTGATATTTTTGCATTAATTTATTGCATATTATCTGATATTTATTATAAAATCGTGCCCAATATATTTAAAACATTAAAAAAAGGCGGATATATACTTTCTATTAACATAAACGAAATTGGGAAACGTAAGGCGATATCAAGAAATGTATGTAACACGATCAGGCAGGCTATTGTAAAATTGATATAATTTTTTATTCTTTGATTATTTAAAAATATACAGGCAAAAATCGTTAGGCAACTTTATACATTAATAATTGTCTTGGTTATTATCTGTTATTATCGCAAGGTACGATAGTTTTATTAATTTCAACTTTAAATACACAGGAGTGTACCACTGGGTCCGGACCAGCTATTACTTCGGGGTGCGATGCTGCGTAACACCCGTTGGATTTTTGGTGTGGTGATCTATACCGGGCATGACACCAAACTCATGCAAAACAACACGAGCACGGCGCCGCTTAAGCGTTCCACCCTCGATCGCCTCATCAATACTCAAATACTAATGCTCTTCTTTATACTGCTTATGCTATGTCTTCTTTCGGCGATCTTCAACATACTCTGGACAAATGCTCATCACGTCGGACTGTGGTATCTTGGCTTAGATAGTAGGTCTTACCAATTTTTCAATTAATTTACATTTGATTCTTTTGTAAAAAGTGAAAAATTATTATTAATAAATAAATTAATAATAATAATTAATAATAATATGAATTAAATAACTAATTGCTTCTTCAAAAAGTTTCATTAAGAAAATTAGTCTGTATACTCTTTTACTAAGGTAGTCTATTACATACTATGTAATATAAAATGTTAATGAAATTTTCAATCGGCATACAAAGGATTTTATAAATGCCAGTATGTTATATTCTGATGATAAAACTATTATTTTAAACTGAAGTTATTTATTTTTATTTCAGATGCACAGACGAAGAATTTCGCCTTCAACCTGCTGACTTTCATCATTCTCTTCAATAACTTGATCCCGATTTCGCTGCAGGTAACCCTTGAAGTTGTGCGCTTCGTGCAGGCGATTTTCATCAATATGGACATCGAGTTATATCACGCTGAAACAGACACTCCAGCAATGGCACGTACTAGTAATCTCAATGAGGAACTCGGTATGGTCAGCTACGTATTTACCGATAAGACTGGCACACTCACAAGAAACGTTATGGAATTTAAACGATGCTCTATAGCTGGAAAGATCTACGAGTAAGTATCGTTTATAAGTGAATTTTAATATTTATAATATAAAAGTTAAAAATTTCAAATATTTAAAAGTGGTTTGGTAAATTCGAGTGACTTATGAGCAATTACTTCTTTTTTTTCTAAAAAATGAACAAAAATGATAACAAGTAGCCAAAGTTATTTTTATATCATAAAGAACAATTACATTTTTTTGAATATTAAAAAAATTAAATATCGAATATGAAAAATTTATAGAATACGCGATTTAGTGGGATAATTATAAGAGGCAGAAGCTTTCTTTTGTTTATATATTTTCATTATATTTTCATATTATATTTTTTTCATATTATTTTTCATATTATATTATATTCATTCCTTATATTTTCATTTCTTAGAAAACTCGAGGCACTATAATATATGAATGACAGATTAGAAATTATTAGAACTTATTTTTGAAGCAATAAAATTTCTTTATAAAAACTTTCACTTTTAAGGATGAGACTTCATTACAGTTTATTACAGTTTTTAAACAAAACGTGTTTTTATTAAAATATATATTTTATTTTTGCAATTACTTTGTGATTTAACTCCCGGCTTATAAAATATTTCATAACGACATTAATGTATTTTTTACGTATAATCAAATTAATAAAAAGATCATTAAATTGCTGTATTTCTTGAATAATATTTGTAATTTCATTTACAGTTTACCAGTTCCATCAACTTCTGATAATGATGAAATAATCAGTGAGTTAGTTCAAAATATACTGCAGGATCGTGTAAAAAATTCATCTCAAGCTATAAGTAGTAAACGGATGTATAATGCTGCTATTCTACATGAATTTATGGTAATGTTGTCTGTCTGTCACACTGTCATTCCAGAAAAAAATGACAACAATATTATTTATCATGCTGCCTCACCTGGTAAGAAAAATTTGTTAAAAGTGAAGAAATTTTTAAATATATTTAATCTTTTAAAATTAAAAAAAAAATTCGTTAACTGGGAAGTAATCGGTATGACAAAATATTAGATTTGTTTAACATTTGCTGTAATAAATATTTTATTAATATTTTTATTTATTATTTGAATTAATAATTTTTACCATTCAATTTTAAATACAATACATATTTTCTTAATTAAATCGATTACTTATATGCAGTAAATTTCAAAATAAATGACGAATTAATTTTTTCTTTAACAGAATCATTTAAATTACTTTAATTATATGAATAAATTATTTCCATATTAATATTTATATTTTTTATCAGAATTTGAACAAAATATAGGTTCCATTTTGTGATGGATTAAGTTAACTTAAAAAGTACTATTACAGATGAACGTGCGCTAGTAGATGGTGCGAAGAAATTCGGCTATGTGTTCGATATACGGACGCCACACTTTGTTGAGGTTGTTGCATTAGGTGAGCGCGAGCGTTACGAAATTCTTAATGTGATTGAATTCACATCGACACGCAAGCGGATGTCAGTTATTGTGCGTACACCTAGTGGTGAAATAAAGATATTCTGCAAAGGTGCGGATTCGGTTATTTACGAGCGCCTCATGGCTAAAGAAATTGACGAGGAAGCAGCGGTCATTAATGTGCAACAATCAGAATATGAGGATTTCCGAGAGTTGACGCTACAGCACCTGCAAGCCTTTGCCACCGAGGGGCTCAGGACGTTATGTTTTGCATCTGCCAATATTTCGGAAAATCAGTACAACGTGAGTGTCAAATTTCCTTGCAAGCATAATAAAAAAATTCATAAAATATTTAAAAGCTTCTAATAACATTATTTTGTTATTAAATATACTCATTATGATATTATTATTCAAAATCAAAGAATCATTTGAATAGTGAGACTATAAATTTGTAAACTATAATTCATTATAAATTTATCAACTTAAATTTTGTGATTTTAATATATGATATAGATATTTATGATATTCTCTTACAATGTTATTTAAAAAATCGCAAAGCTTTTAAAAATAAATAATTTATTAACGTATTGGACAATTTTTTAAAAAGAATTCTATAAGCATAACATGAAATAAATGCTAACTTAATTATTTTACTTAAAGCTTTTTAATTTTCTTAATTTCCTGAATTTATTTTCGAAATGTTATGATAATTTTGTACAATTTAAGAATTACTGTTAAATAATATTTTTTCATTACAGTCATGGAAGGATATTTATAATACAGCTCTTACAAATTTGTCAAATCGCGAAGAGAAGTGTGAAGAAGCTGCAAACCTTATCGAAACGAAATTAACACTTTTAGGGGCTACAGCTATTGAAGACCAACTACAAGATAAGGTTTTTAATAAAATTAATAAATAATTATTTTAATGTCATTTGACATTAAAAAAAAATTTATTTAATTTAAAATTTTTTAAATTTAACTATTAGGTTCCTGAAACGATAGAATCTCTTATTCAGGCAGATATCAATGTTTGGGTATTGACAGGTGACAAGCAAGAGACAGCCATAAATATTGGTTATTCATGCAGACTGATTACGCATCCTATGCCTTTAATTATAATTAATGAAGGCTGCTTGGATGTAAATATAACAATATTTTTTATTCTAATTTAAATCAATAGAAAATTGATTATTTCTTACTATTCTCATTGTTATTTAACAGAAAACAAGAGAAGTTATTATCCAACACTGTCTAGATTTTGGACAAGAATTGAGGTGCCAAAATGATGTTGGGCTTATCATTGATGGAAATAGTTTAAAATACGCTTTGTCTTGCGATCTCAGAAGAGACTTTTTAGATTTATGCACATCGTGTAAAGTCGTTATTTGTTGTAGAGTGTCACCAATGCAAAAGGCAGAGGTATATTTCATTAACTTTAATCATTATTTTCAGTATTTAATATTTTTAAGTTTAGTCTAATTGTAATATTAGTTTTAATTTGAAAAAATGTAATGTATACGATTTATATTTGAATTACTTATATTTTATATTTCGAAAGTTATATTTAATAATTACAACAGCAATTTATATTTGAATAATTCAATTTATTTATATCTACACACTAATGTTCATCTAATATATTTTAGGTAGTTGATTTAGTAACAAGTAATACCAGAGCAGTGACTTTAGCAATTGGAGATGGTGCAAATGATGTAGCTATGATTCAAAAGGCACACATTGGTGTTGGTGAGTGCTTTTATAAATTAATGCAAATATAAATATTTCATTAGTAATAGTAATATTCTAGTAATAGTAATATAATGTCATGTCATAATTTACAAATATTAATGAATCAGTGAAAGTATTACTTTTACAAAATGAAAGCGAATAAAAGTATTTTTATAATTAAATTAAAAATTAGAAAAACTATCTTACTTAAAAAAAAATTTTTTAATACAATAAATCGTTTTTTGTATATTATAATAACGTAAGACTTACTCAAAAGTTTCGATAGTTGGTGAGAAAAACATTTTTCTATGGTATTCGCGATGTTGGGGCTTACATGAAAGTAAAGAGAAAGAGAACAAAGATATATAGTATCAAAATACAAATCGCAGTAAATAACTAAAACACCTTTAATAGAGTAAAATAATAATTTATTTATACAAAAGAGAATAGTATTTATGTTGGAATTACGCACATGGTTATTATACAACAATAAACATAAATGTATACGTACTTTTTACATATAAATATCGAATATTAATTTAGTATTAATTTAATGTATGCAGTGTTAATAAAATATTTCTTTAGTTAATGTGCAATATAAAGATTTCGTGTCCATAATTTGATGGTTGATAAAAAGTTTCGATTCTATGAATTTAACAAAATAATTATATTGTAATCTCTCTCCATCTCATCTCCCCCTCTCACGCCCTGTCTCTCTCACCCCCTCTCCCGTTCTCTCTCTCTCTCTCCGTCTTTAAATATATATATATATATATATATTTATCCATATATACATAATGTATATATTTATTTATTTGATATAAAAATAACCTACGTTTATGAAGAAATATTGTAATATGATTTATTTACTATTTTAGGTATTTCTGGTGTTGAAGGCTTACAAGCTGCCTGTGCTTCTGATTATTCTATAGCTCAGTTTCGATTTCTTAAACGTTTACTTTTTGTACACGGCTCTTGGAATTACAGTAGGATGTGCAAACTCATTTTATATTCATTTTATAAAAATATATGTTTGTACGTCATTGAATTATGGTTCGCTATTTACTCCGGCTGGTCCGGGCAGATTCTCTTTGAGAGATGGTCCATCGGTTTATATAACGTGGTCTGTATTATTTATTGTTTAAAAACAAAATAAATAAATACAATTTCTTACTATTTTTGCTAGTATTTTTTAACAACTCTAAATTTCATATTAATATTTATTATTTTCTATTTTAGGTATTTACCGCAGCGCCCCCATTAGCGATAGGTCTTTTTGATAAAGTTTGTTCAGCAGAAACGCATTTAGCGCATCCCAGTTTGTATGCGGCGAAAAATGCAGCTGAATCTACATTTAATATTAAGGTGTTTATAATTTGAATATATTTCGAATTTACCAATTATTATAGTGTAAATTTAGATATAAAAATAAAGCATTTTGTAGCACTAAAATTTTATATAAACTTTATATATTTATATATTAGTTTGCATGTATATATTGTAAAAAAATGTACAAATCTACTTTTAATTCATTGGATTGTAAACATTTTTATAAATTCTATATTTAAATTTTAGGTATTTTGGATCTGGATATTCAATGCTCTTCTTCATTCTGCACTCTTATACTGGCTGTCACTATTAGCACTAAAACAGGATGTAATTTGGGAAAACGGTCGTGATGGCGGCTATCTTGTTCTAGGAAATTTAGTTTATACTGTAAGATAAATCTTTCCCTTGCATGTTATAATATACATAAGACAATAAATTTTACTTTTACATGGACATTAAACAATTTTTTTAACTAAAAAATTTAATTATGTACTTTAAACGATAAAATTGATATAAGTGACATAGTATAATAAAACCATTTATTTTTTTCAAACAGTATGTAATAGTGACAGTATGTGGTAAAGCAGGTTTAATAACTAATTCATGGACATGGGTAACTCATTTAGCAACTTGGGGATCTATTATACTTTGGTTCATATTTATATTAACTTACAGGTAATAGAACACTTAATACTCGATACTTATATAAAAAAGAATTAAGCTTTTATCAAATACATATCAAACTATTTTTTTTTATTATTTTTTAGCAACTTTTGGCCAATCTTAAATGTTGGAGCAGTGATGCTTGGTAATGATCGAATGCTGTTCTCATCTCCAGTTTTTTGGTTAGGACTTGTTCTCATACCAACAGCAGTTTTACTATTAGACGTTACAGTGAAAGCGTATGTATTCTTATGTTTGAAACTTATGAAGTGAATATTTGTTAAATAGATTATTTATTTATTTCTCAAATAAAATTGTTTTCACATAAAATTTTTAATGCCTTAAACAGTTGAATCCAATATAGTTTTGTATTATTATCGATGAGTATATTATAAATGAAATTAAAATTTTACTATTTAAATATATTCAAATTCTAATATATGGTTGTAATTTTAATTATTAAAGATATTATATTTTAGTTTTAATTGTAGTTGCGTCTTTGTATAACTAAATTAATGCATTTAATTTTTGTAGTATAAATTAGATAATTTCATTATAAATGACCAAGCATTGTAATTATTGTTTAAAGTTTGAAAAATACTGTATGGAAATCACTAACAGAGGCGGCTAGAGAGCAAGAAATCCGAAAATCTGATCCTGGTGACATTTTTCACGTTCAAGATTACAGAAGCTCGTAAGTTGTTTATTTCCCATATATTTCCTTTTTAAGAAAATACATGTGTTCAATATTGTAACCGGTTTAAGGGTTTTGTATGAAACATTGATTTAAAGAGAGAAGTTTTTTATTGGGTTATAGATATTCAAATCTTTGTATTTTTCATATATTGCATTAATTCTACAGAACTCATATGTTTAATGGAATAATTCCTCAAAGTAGCGCGGAAACGTTCGAAACGCTGTATTCTACCTTTTTTTATATCTCTTTATAACATCATTAATTGTAAAGGTATTTATTTGCATGTGGTGATATATTGATGTATCTTTTCTAATAATTATATAATTACATTAATTCGCGTTAACAGTGCATGGCTTTCATTATCTTTCTTTTTTATGAAACGACGCGCTTTGTATGATACATTATTCATTTAATCTTTAACCAATTCTTAATACATGATTATGTATTCACATTTATTGGTTTAAAGGTGCTCGAAGAAAGTCTTATATTTATATTTATTAATTACCTTTTAATATTTTTGTAATTTTTATACGATCTTTCTTATAAAAAATCTAGTAATATATATATTTTATGGAGAAAACTATTTAATGAAGATAATACAGAAAAAATATTTTTATAAAATGTTATATTTATATATACGGTTAACTTTTTTATCAACATAATGACAAAATGCACACCGTTCAATAGTAATTTTGTTCATCTAAATTTAACGTTCGATACATTTTTATTAATAATAAATAATGTAATCATTTTTTGTTATAACTTTATTAAAATTACTATTACTAATTACTTTTTATTCACAACATGAGAAAGTTGAAGTAGCCAGTAAATACAATTGAATAATTAATTAAAATTTAAATCTTAAATTCTGTAAATTTCTTCAATCTAAAATTACTATAACAATCTATTTAAAATTTAATTTTAATCAATTAAGTAAATATGTTTTATTTGAATAAATCTTAAGAAAGTAAATTGTTTTAATTTCTATTAATGAATTATAAAATACATCGAAAATAAATCCATAAATTATTGTGCGATATTATCTGTTATAAGGTAACGACTAATATTTTTCTGTGTAAGAAATATTACAATATATATTACGAATACTGACAAAGTAAATTTTTATCAAAGAAAGGAACCGATTAAAGGTTATAAAACCTATTGTGCAGGAATAAATATTCGGTGATTGTAATTTCAATGACAATTACCAAGCACAGAATCATCTGAAACGACTACTTTAATACCATTTCTATCGGAAAATTACTCCACTATGACAAATAAATTCACCACTATTTTCTAATTCAAGTTTATAATTCCATTTTAAATTATAAATTGTGATTCAAACCCACTCGAGTAGCGTTAACGCGTATAAGCGAGTTCGTTATCATTTCATGGGCCTCGGCGATCGGAGTTTCGAAGCGAAAAAAGCGCGTGCACGTACTCCGATCAAACAGACGCCAAAATCCTAGACGTTACGGATCGGGAAGCTTCCCGTGGCGTCATAGCGAACCTGGATCACCTTTCATCCAGCACTTCCAGAAGGTATCCCACATTTATGCACGAGGTATAAATCGCTTTTGAAAACGACCGATCAATAAGTATCTACTTCATATTACTTTTATTGAGTACTCCTCGCTAAATTTCTTGGGTCGTGAAGCTTCACTATGCGACTCTTCAGGTGTTTTCTGGTCATTCTGGAATATAATGCCCCACCGAAAAAATTTGGCGAGTTTACTAACTCCTTGAGGTATTAAGTTACATAATTCCTTATGAAGTACTCAATATAGTTTATAAATCAACTTCGAAAGTAAGACGTGCACATTTAGATGGTTATTGTATCCTGTATATTTTATTTTATCAATTTAAAACATTATAGTATGTATTTTCGTGGATTATTAATATTGTTTTCTCTTTTATGAAAAGGATTAAGATATTACTATATAAATTACTGATTGAGCAATTAGTTGTTGTTGAAAATGAAATATGAAATTCCACCATATACGTACACATTGTAAGGTCTGAAATTTATATAAAATGCTTCGATACTGATCTCTTTATAGGTAAATTGTAGGACTGAATCCAAATATTGGGAATTAATGTAAAATGATTCATTTACAGTGATCTTCAAATTTACTTAATTAATTTTATTTCTACTTCAAAAATTTAATGAATTTGCTAAAAAAATCTGTCATTTATTATTTAATAAAATCACATATAAAATTAAACACATGAATATTGGTAAAACATTTTATTCATAAATAGATACATGATATCAACTTAATTAAAAAATATCGATACAATAATACTTATAATAATGTGTATAGTATGTAATAAAATGAAATCTACAACAATAGGATAAATTATTAAATAAAAAAATCTGTCGTTCTCAAAGTCATAAATGAATCCTTGTAATTTATCCATTCCAGTATTCCAACATCTACATTCCGAAGTCTACTGGTTCCAAAACATTAGACTCACGCGAATTAATAAAAAATATGTAAGTTACATCCATGATATATATTATCAATATATGTTAACCACCGAATTAGATTTTTATGTATAAGAAATGGAAAATTTTTTAAAATTATGTATTAGAACTTGCAATATTAACTCAACATATTTTCAATAAAAAAATTAAAGTTCTATTCAATGCGAAGAGTGTTTATCACTGTATATTAAATTAGTAAATTTACAGTGATAAAATTATTTTTAATTTTTATCTTACAAATTTTTAATTCGGAAATGAATGAAGACAGTTTCTTCTTTCTTCAGAATATTTTGTGTTAATTGGATCCTAACAAGAAAAACAACTCTATAACCAAAATCGATACATATATTAAAAAAGTATATTTATAACCGACTTATCTTTATTTAATGAATTAGTCATTGTTATATTTAAATATGGGTAACTGCGCATCAATTTTCAAATAAATATTTACATTAAATCTTAAAATTTACAAATGAGTATAATATCCTTGGAAATTAATACTATCGTATTTTTCTTTCTTGAATGATAAAATTATAAAATTACTATTAAACATTAATTAATTATTTAACGAGTCATAATTTTTTTATGAAAATAATGCAATAACGCATGTTCTTATTTCCACATTAATTCTTCATAGTTATATTTTTTTAATTTCAAATATCTATTCCATGGGATATATAATTTTATTTATAAGTAAGAACGTTGATATCTATAACTGAAAGAAGACAATTACACATTGTTTCGTTTGTCCTTATCGTATTATTTTTGTTTTTATTATCCTTTTTGTATTTGTAGAAGCATTGTATTTTTTAATACAAGTTTCTTTTCTTTTTGTTTTTGGAATTTTTCGCGCAGCTCCATGCATGCCATCGCCGCTATAGCGAATTGTAAGTACCCGATTATAGTAGATATAACTTATCTATTTCTACTATCGTATCCTACAATGAATACATAAATAACGCCAAATGATCTTATCATTATACAACACATAGTGCAACCAACATGATTAGCAAAGCTGGCTTAAAGCATATTTTTTTATGATTGTTTATGTTCATTACTTAAAATTTTAAAAAAATACGAACGCTCTGCACTTGCATGCTTTAAAAATATGTATATACGTATTTGAGTTATTCCTGTTTATTGTTATTGTTACGCACTGCCTAATTTTGATTAAGCGATTTCAAAATTGTTTTAGTTAGAATAGTCTATATAAAATATATACTAACTCTTATTTTTCAATCTTTTTCAGTTATTATCGATTTTGGATTTATTTTTGAAAAAAAATTGTAAAGAAAATAGTTATAAATTTAATAATTAAATATATAGTTAAAGGTTCAGATTAATAACCAAAGATTAATTATTGTATTTACAAATCTGGTAATAATTATTTTTATTATGAAATTTAATTCTAAATGTTGGCTTCGAATTTTGTAAAAAATTTAAATAACAGGATGCAATTTTAAGTATTTGCGTATAAGATAATGATATGAAATATATTATAAATTAATTTAAATAATTTTAAATATATATTTTAAACTTTAAATTTCATACAATTAAAGTTCAACGATTATTTTACCATAATTTTTTAAAACAAATGTTTTGTAATTTTTATAATTTCAATATTATACATAAGGGAGGAAAATATTAGAATGTGATATTTTTTAGTTTGTTTATATTACATTATGCTTATATTAAACATTAAATTATATAATTTTCATTTTTTGTAAAAAAAGACAAATAGATTTAACATTATATAAATTAAAATATATGTTGAACTATTATCAATTGTTATGATGGGTACTTTATTCGATTTTAATAATTATTGTTGTTATTTCTCTATTTCTTTATTTTCTATTTCTCTATTTCTTTATTTTCTATTTCTCTATTTCTTTATTTTCTATTTCTCTATTTCTTTATAGTTTATTCTTTATTACTTAAATTTTATTCTCCAATTTAAAAGCGTTTATTCCTAGTTATTGTTAGAATTTCATTCGAATATGAATATGGATAATTATATAAGCTGATAAAAAATGAGAAAATTACCTGTTTTATTAATAATTTTATTATGAGAATAAATTATTCATTTACAATTTTTAACATGCTTAGTAGAAAAATTTAATCGATTATAAATATGGATTATATTAACCAAAAAGTAAATTCTACACGTTCAAATGATAAAAATTAATGCGATATAATGATGCATGAGAAATTATTTAGTGTTTTTTATGTAATTAGCATATACGAATACGTTAAACAAAAAAATTATCGTGTATAATGATTAACAATATCAAGTACGTTTTAATAAAGTTATTTCAATAAATTGTTTTTGAAAACGAAAAATCGTCTAAATTCGCCGGCTTTCTCTGTATTTCTCGTTTCTCTCTCTCTCTCTCTCTCTCTCTCTCTCTTTTTCACTTATATATAGATATGGACTAAAAGAAATAGATAGCTAGAGAATAAAAGAATCGAATTGTCAACAATAATTTACAGATTGACGGAGACGGCGCGGCTTTTAAAAAACGTTAAAAGCGTATTCACAAGGCGATCGAACGCCGCTACCAGGGTGAATGTCGAGGTCGAGCTATCACGTAAGTTCTCTATAAAAAAAGAACAAAAGGATGCTTTAAAATAAATGTCCTTTTTGAATTTTCTCTTGTGAATTATTAAAAAATAATTAAAATATTTTTAGTCGCAGAAAGTTATATAATGATTTCCTTATGTTGATAATCAAAGATATTGAATTGTAATAGTAATTTATAACTAGTCATTTGAATAACAAATTTATAGCCTTTATCTGTTTGTTTAACCATATTTTATTTTCATTTATTGTTACAATTTTTAATAATTTTAAATGTTTAAAATTTACTATTGTTAATTATAAGTTGTTGAATCCGTAGAAACAAACCCTTTTCTCAGTAGTTGAAGCGTAATGGCCAAAACAATTATATAAACATTCAAGTATACAGTTCTAGATAAATTTAATTTAAAAATATTATTTTAAAAATCCCTTTTTTAAATTTGATGTTTGCATTCTACTTAATAGCATGTTACACTTCAAATATTTGCGTTGGAAGAAATAGTTTATAAATTTATGCTAACTGACTGCGATTATTAATTATAATTATCACTTCATATTCACATATTATTACATAAATTTAATGTTTCTATCTTAATATTATCTTGATACTTTTTTTTAATCAACTTTTGTGAATTATATTTATAAAATTGAAATCGGACATACATAATAGAATTTGGATCTTTGTGAATCCTAATGAAATATTACATTTAAAAATTTCAAATATGTTCACGACGTGATCAAAATTTTGTTCATTTTATGGATTTTCATCATTAGGTGTCATTTTAAATACAAAACTTATGTGTTTTATAAAATATGTGCTTCATTGACAATAAGATATATTTTTCTTTACAAATTTTACCACATTCCTTTGTAGAAACTCATTTATATATGCTTTCATTATTTATAAATAAAATACTACTTTGATTATATTCCATTCATAATTATAACCATGAAACTTTAAGTTTCTAATAATAAATGCTATACCAGTTCTGGTAAGATTACAATGTACAATGTAAGTAAATTGATATTTTACAAAAAAAATTCTGTAAAATTTTTCTATATATAATAATAATTGATATTTATTTAATATTTAATAGACATATTTTTAAATAATTTAAATAATATTGATTTAATTTTTTTTATAAGGAATTGAATTTCCATTATCAAACAATTGTGATGGTATATTGATACTGGAATTATTTCCCAAAATCTTCACATCAAAATTAAATTAGTTTATCTTCTAATTCGTTTTATTATTTTTGTATTCGAAAAAACTTAGCTAAATCATTTTTTAATATCATATATACATATATATAATTTTATAGTATTCAAATAACTGGATATGTTTTATTGTACAGGATTAATTTTCCTCGTTTATTATTATAGATAAGTATCATTTATTTATAAAAAAATATTTTCAATCAATTACAATCAAAGTAAATATTCATATTTATTTATTGTGAAAGATTTAAAACTAATTTAGCATAAACAAAAGTTTTCAAGCACCTTTTGCTATAGCACACAAAACACAAGGCCTGTAGTTGCTTATTCAATCAATCCTTTATCTAATTGTAAGTTCTATAGTTAATTTAAATGAAGAATCAATATTTAGAACTTTTTATCCTTATATACTAACAAATAAACAAAAACAATGTAAGATTAATTAACGTATTTTAAACAATTTTTAAATGCAACGTGTTAATGTCTATTTTCTTATTTTTTATGTCAAAATTAATGCAAAATTTGTAAATTTTATTGAAGAAATAATTAATTTTACAAAGTTTCACTATGAAAATCTAATATTTATAAAATTAATAGCTATCACTTAAGCTTAAATTAACGCATGTATTTTAGAGGTGGGGTTTTAAATATCCACGGACTATTGGACAAATTAAAAGGTTGAATAAAATATTTGACCATAAGAATTTTAATACTACAGAGTGTAAAAGTAGATCAAAACAAAAAAGTTCGTCCAGCTGTCCTAACTCCACAGCATACATAAGCTTACGTACAATATATCATCCAAGATTAATTTTGGATCTTATTTTTCGCTAAACCAACAACAGATGGTTTCGCATTTTCCCAAGAGGAGGGAGGTACAGTTTCGCAGACAGACGTGATCAGAGCTTACAACACGAATCTACCGAAGCCTGGTGGCATGTGAATATGAGTGCAGGTGATTGGTGTAGAGGTAAACTCAGCAGCATTGGTCTGTCCTCGTCGACTGTAAACTCGCAGATCGCCGGCTGAAGAATTTCAGCCACCCAAGGACGATGGAGGTTGGGAAAGATATTATGGAGCGGGGAATCGTTGCACTCGATTCGCGAAGATGATCCCTCTCGGACTGTGATGATAGTGTAGTACTTCGATTGATAGCTAAGAGTAAGTGCAATGGGGAATACAGTATTTAATTCTAAGTGAAAATTACCATTTTTTGCGAGTGACTACGATCAAAAGTACTGCTGTTCGATTAAAATTACTCGCTCTAACTAAAAGTCATTATTAAATCTGGCAGGTTAAATGCAAAATGTACATACGTATTTATCGTTAGTGCTCTATAATGAAATTTTCATTTTATGAGGGTATCAATGATTCCATCTAATTTATGTAAGGCAATTTAGCTGCAATATATTTCTAATTCCGTGTCGTAATATATACATCAACATGTGTCTCTTGTATTGCAGTGAGGAAAATCTCTAGAGTACTGTTGATAATCTATTCTGGAGTAGCACGAGTGTTTTCATAAATGCCTACTCGTCTTATAGACGATGGTAGACTTTTTAACTGATATTACTCGCTTTACGAGAGAAAAGACAGCTTAGGCCAATACCTCCTATTATTATAGGAAATAGATTCTGCGATACTCGGTTACGATAGTTTAATGACCTCTGCTTCGTATTTCCATTCTAACCATCGGAAATTGTAAACTCTCCCTTTTTCTCATTCTCGACCTCCCAGACGGAAATGGACGTAGTTTGGGAGCTGGTGCGGCAGGTACTTCACCTGGCTGTGATTTGCTTGTAATTTAAGTTCCAATTTATTAACAATTTACACACTTTGCGCTCATTTAATATATATTTTATAATAAATGACTTCGTAATTACAAGTGGCTGGCGGAAATTCACGCAGACTAAAATCAGAGAGAGAGAGATCTAAGATTTTCTGTGGAGTTCAGATTTGTCAGTTTTTACTTTACCTATAGAAAAATAAAGATGTTTATTTAATATAATCTTATAAATTAATTGAAGAAGACATTAAGGTAAGCTGACTTTTAAACGTGTACATTTAAATTGATTTTAGAATTATAATCATTCAGATATAATTAATAATATATCTTGTAAATAGAATTTTATAAATGTTTTAAAAAATTACACTCGAATACTAAATTTAATTTTCTTTAAATATAATTATATATGTGCATAATTAAATTTTATATGCATCAATATTAGACAATTGTATACAGTTCACTGTAATTTTTATATTAGATTTCTTCTATTCAGTGTGTTATAAATAATACATAATAATTAACACATTAGTGTAGGATATATTTATATAAATGTATAAATTCATAAATAAAATGTATGTAAAGTATTTAATATATTTTACGATGTAAAATAATTATTATTGCTTATGTTTCTGAGCTACATAAAATAAATATATTTTTAATGTAAATATATTAAATAATGTATTAAATCATTGTCGAATATTTAATACATATACATGAGCTACTTAATTAAGAGATATTATTTATACACGCTGATTAAATGTGTTTAAAATATTGTAAAAAGTATATTTGGGCAGGTAACGTTACATTTTTTCATCGGGTCTCGGATATCGATGTTTTATCTTTATAGAAATTTTCATTAGAACTCCTACAATTATAGTTATTATGTAAATCTAGTAAAATTAGAATATTTATTTATTTAATAATTTTTATTACTGTGTAGAGGTATGCAATTATGAATACGTTTTTTTAATAATGTGCTTCAAATTCGATGTACAATCTACTAATAAAATTATAAAAGTGTAAGTTCAGCAAGAAGATTCATTAAATTTGATATAAAGAAGATATAAAATATATACAGTTAATATATATGCTATTGATATCTTTACTCTTACACTTCTTTTATACTGAATGTGTGAAAACTGTCTAAATGTGAATTAATTAATGACCTCTTCACCCTCTGCCTTAATAGTGACAGAGAGAATGATGATCTTGAGTAGGTTTCTTATTCTTCCGTTAATTGTAATTGTACTCACGATCTGATTCTCTGTACATAATACATTTTGTATAGAATAAATATTATATTTTTAATGTAGTGTTTAAAACTAATGTAGTTTAAAATTAAATTATAATTAATGCATAAATGATACATGTGAGATATCCGATTGAGTATAATCGTTTGTACAATATTATATTTTAAATATGTGCAATTCTAATATAATTATGTTGTGTATGAAAAACTGTCGCAAATCAGTGTGTATATATTTATAATATGTTATATATATGTTATAATTGAATTCCTTATAGTTAAATTGTTTATCGACTTCTTTACTAAGAAAAATTCTAATCATGAAATTTACAAAAGTATTTATTAAAGTATTAAGCTTCTCATTTGAATAGAAATTAAATTCATTAAAAGTATCATATTTTTTTTAATAACACACAAATTTACAAATGTTTACATTTGTAAAAATAGAAATTAAACTGTGAATAAAGGAACATGGTTTTATTAAAAATTATTTTACAAATTCAATAAATATCATGGAATTAATTTAGATGCAACTCAGTATTTTTCTTTAGCTACTAAGCACTGATATTTGTCAAAATTATTTTTATTTAAATTCTATTACTAATTTTTTTTTAAGGTAAATTTATTTGTTTACTTTAGAATATGCTGTATTATGTTAAACTGAAAATTGTATATCAACTTTGATTACTCATTCAGAAAATCAATGGATATATAAGGAGAAATATTTGTTAAAATTCTCGGATCCTTGCTACTCAGTTTGGCATTGGTACCAAATTCGTAATAATTTTGAATTCAAAAATTAAAATTTGAATCAAAAAATGAAATCATAATTATTCAATTCCTAATTGCAAATGTGCGTCTTTGCTAGAGAAGGTCTAATTATTATAGAGCTACGTATAATTAGATTCAATAATTATCCACAATTGTGAGGAAAATATTGTAAGCGATGTGCAATAAGTATGCTATTTTCTTTATCCCGTCAAATTAAAACTTTCTATTTATACTTTAATGTACTTAATTTTCGAGAATTATTTTCTCAATATGCTGTACACAATTCATTTAAAAGAATTAAAGTGACTCTAAATACATAGTATATAATGTTTTTTTTTATTTATAATCACCATGTAAAGCTTATTTATTAAATAATTAAATACTTGAATGTACCGTAAGTACAAGATAAGTACAAAATATAAGTAAGCTTCAGTTAAAATAACTAAATGCTTTTGTATAATCTTGTATAAAACTTTGTATTAAAATCCAATAAAAGTTTACCAAAATTTATTTTTCCTTTTCTTTTTACTAATCTTTGCATAGCAGATGTTACGACAAAAATTCATCGTTATGTGAAAAGAAAAGTGTTTTATTGTAAACAGCAACAAATTGCGAGACGCTTAGTTTTTTAATAATATAGTATAAATTTAATGACTTCTATGTATATTCGATTATGGCATTAATTCCAAAATTAAAAAAAAAATAAAATAATTCGCAATAGTATTATTATCAATATTGATGCCGATAATTCGGTATTTTCAATTCTATATCGTTGTTACATATTATGTCATTTCGAGATTATTTACCTCAATTAACTAGAGATCACTCGCAGTACACTACAGACTAGGAAAAAAGGTACCCTTACTTCGAGTGAGCTTTCAGTAGAAATTCTTCAGTGATCGCCTCCTCGGAGAAGTTATATGTTTGCGTACGTCTCTGGCATTTTTGCAATTACGTCGTGAATCAAGGGTCTTCTCGTGTACAGAAAAACAAATTCCGAACTAAAATGCAGTTAGGCTAAAGAAAATTGACTTGACGTTTTGAAAGTTTTATCGGGCTTATAAGACAATATATGAAAAGAATGTCACATTTATAACATATCATTATTTGAGAAGGTAACAAAGGTTATAAAAAAATTAATATAGCTAAACTTTATATTTTGTCCAAAATTATATACTAGATTAGCTACACATTACCTAGTTTATTTTTTATTTTTTATATTTTATTTTATTTTTATCTTATTATAAATCGCTGAAATACTATCCCATTCGATAATTTTAGTTTATAAAGTACATAAATTATTAGTTAAACTATATGTTGATACTGTGATGTTAAGTAAGAAATAATAATATTACTAAAAATAGGTTTTTTAAACAAATTAAAAATTAGATTGATATTGGGTACCTATAAATTAATTGATTTTAGGTATAAAAAATGTCCACTATCTGAAAGTTCATTTTTGGTTTGTCTTACTGCTTCGTTGACGTTTTAATGTATTTGATAAGTGCTCATTATTCTCGGATAAATGTGATATTATCGGTAGATTTTTCTCAGCCTTTGACCGTAGTTTACAATATTGTTTGTTCTCCTGTTTTCAGATACTTTTCTCCATTTCCTTGTAATTTTGTTGTACGAAGAATTTTTAAATGAGTCTACGTATTTTTTAAGTCGTTGTTAAAATCATTGTATCTTAATTAACTACTCCGTAAAAGAAATCTATTATTATAAATTATTCAAAATAAATGTTACAATAAATTATCATCAAATCATCTTTAATTCAATGTCCGTATTACAAAAGTCAGATTTGTAAATGAAAGCTTTATTTTTATATAATTTATACGTTCTTTTAGTTTCATTTTTGTCATTTTGTGTTGATACATTTGTAAATTATTATAACAAATATAAATATTAATACTATTATACATATATATATATATATTTGTAATATAGTGTCAAACTTAAGATTAAAAGGAAAAAAATAGAAATTTTGCTTATATTGTTTATTATAATTTTCTGCTAAAAATCTATAAATGACGAGTGAATGGAGTCCAATGACTATGGTTCTTACAAAATAGAAATTACATATTTTTAAACATTCTTGTGCGACATTATCATTGAGTAGTTATACTATCAATTGAGCTCTCAATTCAACCTTCCGCTCGGCAAGGACCTCACTTGCGAACGATCGTAACGTTCTTTGAACCTAATCTAAACTTCAAATTCGGTACGACACTAGATGTTCAATTTTTCTGGGTATTTCGAATTCTGTTACAGATACGCGTATAAAAAGTTCATGATCAATGAGCGTGAATTGCTGGCCCAAGGTCAAGCTCTCAAAGAGCCAGAGAGTTATTCGGAGTTAATATTCGACAACAGTTCAAACGACTTAGTATTGATTTACTTGTCTAGATCTTATTGTCTTTGCTTCTACAGTTAGTCACTATAAAAAAATCACCGACTTATTTTAAAGTACGTAATTCAGAATTCAGATCTTAATCCCATTTATACTTTATGCAATTCATAAATTGAATCAATAATGATTCAAGGAAGGGACAGAACATGCCAGTGACCATAAAGATATGTAAAAACGGCAGAAATCTAAAGTCCATAGTTACTGCCCTGTATTATTTATTCATCGAATGAATGCTAAAACCAATATTGTAAATTAATTCAGAGTCTCCCTCTCTTCATGAATATGTATTGTCTAGTTTTGGGCTTATCCGTTTCTACTTGATATTCCTTAAACTGTGAAAAATGCGTCTTAATATCCTGAAAGGCGTTTATGGCATTAATAGATACCTTCAGCGTCCAGAATAACACGACTCATCTTGTACTGTCGGCAAAATTAATTATCATGATATTATATATAAAATTAATTAATTAATAAAAAGAATTAAGTTCATAAATAATCGATGCACATCAATTTTGTAATCGTACATATGCTTTTAAAGCTATTTCGAAAGATTTTAAAACACTTCACAGGATTATTAGACTGTGCTCAATAAAATATGTATCTACGAATATTTCGGATCCTTGTTCATTTTCTGAAAATTGGTACTTCCCAAATTAAAACGTTACTAGAAATCAAATTTAGTTTATGTTGTCAGTGCTCGAGCAAATTCAATTGTTCTTAAGGAGTTTTAATCTTCAAAGAATATTTACTTTAAAAAGGCCCATTTTAAACAGAATGTGCATTTGTTCTAAAAAGTAATTACCATTTTTAATAATAGAATTTATTTTGACTCCTATTGAGAAAAGTTTTCATTCGCAATTCATAATTTTTATCGTGTTTTCATTTCACAGGAATAGTATTTTGTTAATGATTAATTTATTAAATTTATTATATTAATTTAATATTTATTTTTATATTTATTGTCATAAACGTGTATGAAAACTGAGAAAATGCCAATACTACATCATGCCATTAGCTTGAATAACTTTAACTTTAATAATTAATATTAAAATAATAGCACGTTTGAATTCATAATCTTAATGCTTAATTTATCAGTTGTTATGTGGCGAAGTATTTCGATATTATCAGTCATAATTTCGTTAGTAAAAATTGTCGATAATAGACTGCCGTGTTGGCGTTTGCATTGCACGAATCAAATCAAACATCGGCAAAATATGTAATAGAATGAAGAAGAATAATTTAATGTACCTGTAGCTTGCATATGTGTGTTTGCTATCTTTTACATCGAATATCAAATAAAACGAATAAACAAATAAATAATGTTAAATTTTTTCCTTTTTCTTTTTTATTTTTAAACAATTGTAACTCGAAAACTATGGCAATAAAGCTTTAAGAAATAATAAATTAGTATTAAAATATGGGGGTATTTTTTAAAGCCAATACGATGCAAGAACTCGTGTAACTGTAATAAATGGCACAATGTTAAAATTTATTAATTTTCATTTTACATCGGTAATTCTAGAATTGAAGATTGGATTAATATTATTGTTATCCTTGTTGCTATTGTTGTAAAATTTTAGTAAGAATTATATTTGAAAAAATTACATTATAGCTTCATAAGAATACGTGCAATGCAATTATTTATATAATCAACAAATGCATTTACACCGCTGTTAATTTGAAATTATTATCTTTAATATATAATCAATTTTTAGTTTTAATTTTTTATTAAATTAATTTTATTTTTTTTATTAATTATTTTGTTTAATATTAATTATTTGTATCAATTAATTAATAAAAAATAATAAATAATAAATTAATTCAATTGAATTAATAATAATTATTAAATTAAAATATCGAATTAGTGTATTTCATCATTATCTATTTTTATCAAATGACGTCATTTGGATGATTATTTCTAATTAATTTTTGACTTTTCACAAGCAAAAATATTTTGCTTTATCATTACATATTCATTGGTCAAAAGATAGATACGTGCATAATTTACTCTTACAAGAGTCAGAATGAACGCTAGAATTACTCTTATCGTATATACCAAAAATAAATTTTAAGAATGTACAATGGAATATTTTGGTATACATATCAATCTTTTCACTTAGATTAGAATTTCGAGCTTTTCTTGTTAGCATCACTAAATTTTTATAGCTGAGTCAGCTAAACTTATTAACATTAGATCCTGGTTTATTGATATCTAACGCAATACTGGGTCTTTCTTTATTACTTTATTTAAATTCATTTGGTGGAAAATATAATAAACGACAATCACCATTTTCACGATTTGAGATGGTTTTTATTTTTGTGTTCAGCAATCGTTAATATATGCAGCATTTATTATTTCTTCTCGTAAAAATTGCGCCAAAAAGATTATTATCTCGTTGTTTATCAGCTTTTCGATGAACTTTTCGATAATTACTTGATTTACCGAACAAGTTTTTGTATTTTTTTCTTTCATTTAGTAAATAATTTTCCAATTTATCCCTATAAGAAAAAATAAAATAAATATTGTTTTAGAAAATTAATAAAAGATCAACGAATACCACTGGCTTTATCATATTACAGGATAATTACTTCTAATGTATGTAAAACAACGTTTTACAATGCTTTAAAATTACAAAAACAATGACTTTGTCATGTTTAATGTAATGTTTGTATGTAAAACTTTCAATTATATCTTTTTTAAAATAGCTGCTATAATTAAACTATTTATTAAATTTTTTTTAATAAAAATAGTTTTAATATCTTACGCAATATTTAGATTAATTATGTCGATATGCTATTGGCCTTGTAAAGTTTGAAGCTATAATAATGTTAAATATTTCTTTTATAGGAACAATTGTTTTTTCTTCATTATGTAATTATCAAATTACAAAAGACTGTAATCACTTAATCGATCAATTAATCATTATTTTTAATAAAAATCCGATATAAGAAAGTTGAAAGAGTTCGATATCGGTTTATATCTATGCGGTATCGTTAATTCCCTTAATTAAATGTTCACTTATTGATACGTTTATTTGATGTTTCGTTATATTATAAATCCCATTTAGCTATTATATAGAAGAAGTTGATAACACTTATTTATCTGAACATCTATATCACATCACCAAAACAGGAACAAAACATTAAAAAAAATTCATCTATAGATACTGCAAATAAGCCTCGAAAAAACGATTATTTTACTTGGTTTCATACAAAATACTCCTCGAGAATCAAATGGGTATGGTCCCGCAATATCCGTATCGGGATGCATTGTATGGCTCGCCTAATTGAAGTTTTCGCTGCTGTGGAGTTTGTAGCTCTGGATTGCAACTCCAAAGTTTCGATAAACTCGAAGAAGTCGAGTTTTTGACAGCCGTGGTTTGTAATAATGAGCTGCTACGGTATTTGCCCTCGAATATCTGACGCACGTGTTCGCACCAACGATTCTACAGTGTTGCTCTTCGTTCCATGCCGCCAAGCTCATAATACTTTGATCTACCGTTGATCAACCTGAACGACGGAGTCTTACGTATTAGTAATTCCCGGTTTTCATTGCTAATAAATCGCTCAACTTTTATTATTATACCGAATTTTGTCGCAAAAGGGGGGGGGAGGAACAACTAATACGTAGTAAAATTACAATACACTAAAAACCTCTTATTTAATTTGATATAAGCAAACTTTATATCACTTATTGTAATGCTGTATATTAATATTAAAATATATATATACGTTAATAAAGACAAGTTAGTGTCAGTAGTAACGACCATTATATTTATATATATTAGGATGTAAACATTTGTAAAATAACGAATGCAAAAATATAATTGAATATAAAGTATATTTTATAAAAGTCAACATAATTCTGGTTTTTATTTTTGTTAAAAAAAACGTATTAGGAAATACGCAATAGGCTACAGTATTTGTAAAATTATTACACTTTTATATGTATTTGTACTTTTTTTCATATTCGTATATATCTAAATATTTATACATTAAATGTTTTTATTTCTGGAAATCAATTCCTTATTATGGTCAATAACCGATAACATAAAATGTTTTAATTCTATCAATTAAAATAATACAAATTTTGAGGAAAAATTAGCTAATAATAATGGTCAATAATAATTAGTCCAATAATAATTAGTCAATAGTGTGCGTTTAAGTTTTAAATATGGCTATACTATGATTCTATTCTCAACGTATCACGTAATACAAATACGTATTTTTGTTTAAAATTTAATCACATACATATTTCAGCATATACGATATTATTATTAAAAGATACACACACGCGTATATATATATATATATATATATATGTATGTATGTATAATTAACTACATTTAAATATATGTATATAGAAAATAATTAGATGGAAATTGGATAGAAATTCCAATTACTGTTGGTATCGATTAATTTATGCACATGCATACGTGCACCATCGGAATTCAAATTCAAGACGACAGTAATGAGATTTTCCATCCGTATTACTAAATAAAGTATAGCCGTATATAGTATACTGCGTTAGATATGACCTCGCTTTAAACATGTTCCTGCGCCTGTTTCGAAAGATACTGAGTGTCAGAAACTTGAGCGGGTAGATAGGAACGAGCTCGAGGGTCTCGATGCAAGGGTCGACATCCAGTGAACACCAATGCTGATAATTCGTCTCGAGCGCATCCGAGGCCACGATAAGTTTTGTTTTAGTTAAGGCGAGGGCAACTTCCCGTAAGCCGTATCCATCCCGTCATATATAGCCATATCGTCGTTTCGGCGAACGGCGACTCCACGAGGATCATCTCCTTCACGAGCTGATTGTAGTCGGAGAAGATGAGCTTCTGGATTTTTGCGTTATCTATCAAGTTAAATTCCCGCTCATTTTCTAGACTGGGTCAGAATTCATAAACTTCCTGGGGGTTCGCCATTATCAGGCGAATCTTTCAGGTTAGGTGGACCACGATATCGCCTTGAATTATTTACGTTGGTAGATGACTTCGCGGTGATGTGCTCCACTCAAAAGCTTTATGGCACGTGTGAGTCCTATATTTTTAAATTCTTTAAATCCCATTCCATTTATCCAGTCATCGTTATATTATAAAATTCCAGAAAATATTACAACTTTGAACAAGCGATTTGTAACTTAACAAGTTTGTATTTCATAAAAAGGGTACATTTCGTGTTCATATTTGATTAGATGCACATTTTATTTTTTAAGAAATAATTTTTATCCTTTATGCGTCACATACTAAATTAACTTTTCTAGAGTCATGTTTATTAATAAGTCAATAATATTATACTATTTTATAATATCGCATTAATAAGAATAGAATCATTTATAAATGCAGATAAATTATTGTTGAATATTTACTATTAATAAGTTAATAATTACTTATTGTATCTATTTCAAAATGCTCCATTAACTAATAAAATATTAATATAGTCCATGATTTTAAATTGTGTCATCATCAATCATTTACATTATTACATAAAATTTTTAATTCATCTATGTGTAAGATAATACATCTAATAATAGTAATATATCTAATCGTAAGATTTTCCTTACAAATTATTAAATGTGTTTGTATGAATCTTATGTTATTAATAAAATAATATTAGTTTTTATTACACAATAATACTAACAATATTAGTTTTATTTAAAGCCATATCTTTCGTGTATTCAAATATTATTTACTAGTTTCTCAATATTAATACTATATAAAAAAGTATATATATATATATATATATATATATATATATATATATATATACAGAAATTATTTCTCGTAATCATTTCTTATAATAATATAATTTTAATTTCGACCGCAATAATTGTTAATAATAATATTTTTTATAAAGAAGTCATTTGAAGTATTAAGTAACTAGGGTGAAATACTTGAAAAACCAAAAATAACGGTTAACTAATTCCGTTGGCTTATTCTTAGTGTTTTCATTCACGAAAAAAGTTCGCATTTTATTTCTTTATTCATTGCGCTGCCCAGAGGACATTTAAATACATCGGAAAATATTTGAAGATTGGATACCACACCGTTTACTTTTAATGATGTTTCATAAGCATCATACATATCATTTATATCACCAACTTCGCAAATCCGCTGAAAAAAATAAAATGTGTTATAATTAATTTAGAATTTTTATTTTATAAAATAGTAATATTGTTTCGCAGTTTATCAATATTAATTTTTTTATATTTTTAATTTTTAATGTAGTTGAATGCTCCATCGAATATCGAATTTAGGTTTATTTTTTTATTTAGGTAAATTATTTAGGTAAATTATATTTAAGTCACTTTTTAAGTTTAAAGAGAATTAAAATTAGCAATAAATACTCACTTCAGCATATGATAGGAAGAAGAGCTGATCGCTTTTCATGTCTTCGAAACCCGATAGATGTTGATTGTTTTCTCCTTTGACCTTTTTATACGCTTCGAACGCCACTCTCAAACCGGTTATCTTCTCATAAATCTTGTCAACTTGTATGGTATCTCGATAGATAATCGATGCGAGCATCTGATTATGCTGCAATGTAGATTTCTAAGGAAGGATGTTTATTTTATATTTTACATGATACTTAATAAGTAATTTTCATTTATACAGTGGAATTTATAATTTTTGTATTAACTACTTTCGTTTTTATACCTTATAATTGACTAGTTGATTGGATAAACATTTTTCTTTAACCTTGTAAGCATTTATTGTATCTTTTGTCAATCCTTCAATTGTTCGAGTATAAAACTCATTGTATTTTAAATTATCTATTAAAAGATGAATTATTTATTATAATGCATACCTACTTAATGAGTCAAAAGTTAAAGTTCGACTTTACCTGTGAGACTTACGTAATCGTACAAAATTGAACCTATCATAGATCCAAAACTACCATAGTTGATTGAACTAAATGTAAACGAGTGTCATTGTATCAAGTTTATTAGTTAATAATATAATACTTTCGTGTATACAACTTTTATAAATACCTGGGCAGTTTGGGACTAAACAATTCGTATTTAGCTTCGTTTAAATATTCTGTTGGAAAAACTAAAGGAAATAAGATAATTATTTAATTATGTAATTAAATACATAAAAAAATTATCTTATCTTAATTATTCAAATTAAAGATATTAAGATTGCTTACATATTTGATTCAAATAACTATTAACTTCAAAATGGTATATTAATGGTACAAGCTTTTTAGACATTGTTGAAGGACTAAAAAAACAAACAATTACGTAATAATTGTGTTAGAAATAATATAATTGTTTCTCCAATTGGTAGAATACTCACTCGAATATACGCGGATGTTTCAAACCACGCAATTCGCGAATTAATATTTTCCTCTTGTACTTGATAACATTCTCAAAGAAATTTGAATGCAAATGTAGCTGTGATTAAACGAAAATTTTGTATCATATCAATGTCAATATAAGTGCTTAAAAAGTACATTTTTAATTTATTGGCTAATTAAAATATATAATTGTGTAAAATATATAATTGTATAAAAAATTTATATAAAATATATAATGTGAAAATATATAAATATCATAAAAATTTTAAACATGTATCTATTTACAAACTTACATTGCCATAATAATTATTAACAAACGCCTGCTTGATCTGCCAATTCGGATAACCCACTATTATTTTTAAATTCTTCAATTTATGAGTTGCATAAAATTTTGTTTCGTTATCCATCCATTTTGCTTCCGATAAAAAATATATGAGAGAATTTCGAATGTTATTTATAATTTTTTCAGCCTATAATAATAATAATAATAATAATTCATGAATTATTCATATACCACTGACGTTTCTTTGCTATATTTTAAAACTTACGTAAAGTTTTTGCTCATGAGGGACGTGGCTTTTGATGTACTTGTACGTAGCTCCGATCAATTGATTGTTAGATTGTTGAATACAAAAGGTTGACCTTTTTATGAAAACATGTAAACAATGATTGAAGCGAAATTAACATTTCAAGCATTTATTAAATTATTATTTATTTGAGATATTTAGAATTTTCCAAATGTAATGACGAAAATATATTTAATAACTATAAACCAACCTATCACGAATATTTTCGAAGAATCGAGCCAAACTTGGATTCAAATATTTGCTTATTTGAGTGAGAAATTTAAAATGAATATATTTTTCTAGGACAAACATGTAAAATAATTAATGTAATTAATTTTCTTATGATTATGATAAAATTCATAGCTTACCTACTGTAATTGATGGGGTTTTTTTTAAAACTTGTGCCAATTTCATAAAATATTCAATTTTATTTAAAACAATATTATCAAATTTATTAATACTAACGTTGGCTGAGTTCAGCAATGTATTTAATAATTTGAACCAACTAATCTAAAGAAAATTTTTCCTTTAAAATATATATTCTTAATTTTATATAAAATATACGTAAAAATTTAACTTTACATGATTTTTATCATTTTTATTTTCATAGTTTGGATTTTTGAGAGCAGAGTCGTAAAGTTTTTGCCATTCATTTACTGCCATTTTATTGTTAATTAATGTTGTTATATTTTCTTCAAACATTCCTAAGGGTGGAATAATCTATAAAAAATCATAATTTATCATTTAAACAGTTGACTCTACTGGTTTCGTTAATTCACAATATATGTTGAAAAATTAAAATTATTAGCAAAATTCTGATATGATTAAATCAATTTAAAATAGTATTATAGAATTATAATACTATATAATTATTTAATATTTATGAATAGAATTATTTTAATATTTTCTGATTATTTATTTCTTAATTAATTTAAACTTATTAAAAAAATCATATTGCATATGACTAATTATCTTATATGAAAACATTTAAACAATAAACAATACACCAATATGAATAATTTTTAGAATTCATTTTCTAAAATTTTACTTCATTATTTTTATATGACTCACCTCATGTAAGGCATTATTAAATTCAATAACATCTTCGTAATCAGTGAGATTTACATTACCATCAATAATATTATGCTCGAGTATATTTGAAATTATGCCCGTAAAATTTTTATATTTCAATAATCCATGCACTGAATAAAAAAATAGTGGTGAAGGTGGCATCAACTAATAAAGTAAGAATTATTAATTAATAAGTAATTATTTTTATTTGAAAACGTAAGTTAATATTCTGAAATAATTTGATTATTTCAAATTATCCTTTACTAATTCTAATTATCACTTGTGTAATTTTTCAATTATGCTTTGTTAAACATACAATAAATTTTAAACTATTTAGAATAAAGTTTTGCGCCTAAATCTTTAAAATGTATAGAAAGTTTATTTCAAATGTATATTTTGTTCATTAATAAATAAAGAATAGTCAAAATTATCGATAATCATTATTCGTTTGTCTTTGAAAAAATTTAACGAAAAAATGTAAATGCCAAGATAGTTATGCAAAGTAATTAATTTTCCTTATAATTATTATTTCTGACATTTTTTGCAATCATAATGCATTATTATAAAAATGAACCATACAAACGTTAAATTATATGTGACAAACAATTTTTAAATTTATATTTATTAATTATACGTATATTATTAATTAAAGATTGAATTTCAAATAAACATAAATTTAAGTCATTATAATAAATCTTATTAATATCTGCATGTACACGAATGTGTGAAAGATAATTATTGTTTAACTGAATGAAGAATTTTTCAATTCCATTTTTAAAATAGATTGAACAAATACTTTTAAATAAATAATATGCAAGTATATTTTAAAAGAATGTTGGTTAAAATATATATTTAACTTCTAAATGTAAATAATTTATAAACTTTTCAACTTATCCCATACAAGTGCTTTCAGTAACTATTTTACAAACTTTAAAATATTGTTATAACTACTTTTCTAACCACTGCAATGTTATTAATAGAAATGATTCACATACTTAGTAGGCAAGAAACATTTTTAGTGCAAGAAAATAAAAATATATTGAAAATAAGATGTACACAATTATGTACAATGTTCTTTCTATACGTTGTTATTTAGTAGATAAGCCTTTATAATCCAGATTTAAATATTGTTTGATATTCATTAATTGTTTATGTTGTGCATATAATATTGACGTGCTTAATATTGTACTTTATTATCTGCTCTCCCGGATCTTGTAGAGTTATCAATAGTCAATTAAAATATTCTAACGCATTTAGGGGACTTTCTAAAAAAAAATATGAGAATCCCAAAAAAAACGAGAAAGTATCATATCTAAATAAAAATACTCACGGCGATAAGATTGACGTCAGAGTTTTCAGGATCGCGCGTGATGTAAACATTGAAGAAAGCGTGTTCGAATCCCAAAGAAGCATAAAAACTGTCTGTCGATTGCCAATCCATAATTCCGAATTTTCGCTCTGAACGAAATAAACTTAGGCCATTTGACAACTCCAACAAACGAGTGAACTCCTGCTTCGTTTTGTGGTCGCTTTCCGCTGTGACATTCAATAATTTATTAAATTTTGCAAATAATTTTAAATATGCTACTACTACTACTAATACCATTAATACTTCTACTACTATTATTGTTATTATTAACATTAAAAAATACATACATAGGTTCGTTAACTTTGTACTTTTGAAATAATGTTACTTTTACATATAAAATAGTACCGTAGAAACTCTTAATAAATAGAACGATGATAAATAAGTAATATTAATAGAATAATAAAAGTTAATCTAAAAAATATTTTTTAGTTTTATCTATAATTTATGGAAACAAAATTTTATTAAATTTAATTACTTATTACTCACTAACATTTACTTGGTTTATATAAAATTACATAAGTCATGTAATACATTTGTTAAATCACTTTTGCTTTATTTTCACCAAGTATTATTTTTAGACTAAGAATAAATCTGCTAGTACATTATATTCACATAAAAATTTAATTGAATTATATGAAAAATATAGATCTAATTAAAATGGATTAATAACTTTTGAAGATTTTTTTAATTCTCAAGTAAAAGAGTTAAAAATGCACTTAAGAAAACCTAAATAACACTGAATTTTCTTAATTTGAACAAATGCTAAGCTTAAATCTATTTTACTATTAACATTACAGGAGTAATTATTATATATTTATTTATGATAATTATTAGCACTAACCCTAATAATATGCATATAATTTATATGTACAATTTTTAAAGCCAATATGATTGATTAATTATGCGCCAATATGAATTTCATCAAAAAATGTTCATAGAGTTCAAAATTTCACTAGAACTTTTGGTTATGTGATGTTTTTTATTGTTAAATTTGTAAAAGTAAATTTAAGTACCAATAATATGAAAAGCAAAATTTTCCAAAATACTAAAAATGAACTAATGAAGTTCTACGCCATAATACTATTACAAGAGCGATATTTAAAAACAAATTATTGTAACAATAAAATTGTTTTGTGATTTTTAGTAATTCCGATCTTTAAATATTTATTTTTCATTTTAGATTTTTATTGGTGTTTATTTGCGTACAATAAAATTGTATTTATTTACGTGTTTAGTGTATTTTAAATTAATGTTCATGATCATACGTACGTTGTTCCATGCAGCTGCGATAAAATTTCTTATCCAATGTCAATGATTTCATTTCCTCCTCAGTAGATGCTTGCTCTAATATTTCTAATACATGAAACACATAAAAATGATTGTATAATGCTTGCGAGAACTGGCGCTTTTATAATCTCAATACAAGATATATAAATAACTCTTCAGGCTCATTAATATGTTCAATTAATTAACAATTTCGCACTTGAAGATTAATTTTTTTTCTTGTTTTTTAAGCAAAGCACATTGGTTATTAAAATTTATTATTTATGAAAAGCTGGTTATTTACGACATACCTTGTATTTCTTTAGTTAACGAGCGTATCCTACTCCGTTTACGGCCGCAAGCATAACCGTAAAAGTCATGGCAAGGATTCAACGATTTCTTTACACTTTTTAAGAATAAATCCGCTGTATTGAAAATTTTTTTTATGAAATTAAGATATCTATTTTAATAATTTTAATATAAGGGACCAAACATTTTCTATTAAACATAACAAAGATTATTGTAATTCGAATGATTGTATTCAGACCGTAAGTAACGAAATATGTCATACCAACTTCATTGCAACGATCATTAGTACATGTATTCTCATAAAGGCCGTAGTATATGTAATGTATAATAGATTTCGACTTTGTATTCGGGGCTTGTACGAAAATCTTCTTAACTTCGTCATCGCCAGATGTGTTACTGCTTATGCAGACAAATGCGCCAAAAATTCTGGAAAATATTCAATAAATTAATTTTATTACTTATTAAGGATTTTATGAAAGTATGAGTGATAAGTTACTGCTTTTAAATGCACGTGACACATCTGTACGTAATTACGCTTTAGATTAAATGAATAGGGTATATTCAGAATCGTTTTTATTGAATTTGCACATGATTACACAATCTTTATTTAGATACTGTAAAATTATATAAGCTGATTAAACTATGATAAAGGTATTATCAAAATAGTCACACAGAAATTGTACAAAATATATACTCTTAAAGCAATGTGAAGTGATGACAGATTAATCAAATATAAACAAACATGGTTCTATTATAAATTTCAGAATTAGTACGTCCTCTTTCTCGTTTAAGATACTATTCAAATACGAAATTACGTACAACGTACGTGTGGTAGACTCAAATTTTAAATCATAATAATTGATAATTCATAAAATTATCATTGTTACACATTAATTTAACTTATATCTTCAAATATTGAAGACGTATTTCACTAAACTCTATGTTATTGTACAATTAAAATACGCGATCAAAAACTATTCAGTTTGTCAAATGCTGACAAATTTGTACACGAAGAACAGCTCTGATTTGAATATCCCATAATTGGTTCAAGTAAAAATTAAATTTGATGAAAAAAAAAGTGACAAAGTCCTCGGATTAGTGTGCAAAGAAGAAAGAAATTAAAGAGGAAAGATATGCGAATGTGATGTAAAGTGAATCACAATGAAAATGTTGCATGGCGTACAACTCACAAGATAGTGCGTAGCAGCATTTTTTGGGGCCTGACGCGCTACGCGCGCGCTTTTCAGATCGCGATAGTCACTACTATACTGGATCATCATTGAGAAGGACGCGCCATTTTATATCTATAATTTTTATCGTTCTTGTCTTTTCACTCCTTCTTTCTTCATCTGCTCTGCTTCTTCGTCACGCCTCTCTTTTCTACGCTTATTTTTGTATGATTCTTTCTTCTTGAACTAAATACGATAGAAACTTCACCGTGAATATTCTAGGTACCAAGAATGACATGGCAATTAATTAGAATGACTTGGAATTTATAATTATGATTTGAAGATATTAATTTCCAATACGATGTAAGGTGTCATATTGAATTGCATAAAAGTTCTTTAGTATAAAAGAACATTACTCTTAAAATATCATACATCAACAATATTATTCGTTAAAAATTACTAGTATTGCTTGCTCAGGTAGTTATCCATTTATTGTAATTTAATTTTAATAGTATGTGTAATAACAGAGTAAGCAATATGTTTATGTTGGCGGTATATATAAATATTAGCAATTATTTGTATGAATGAATGGTAATAACAATATTAAATTTAATAAAACTTAAAAAAATTTTATTACTTATGTTTACATAGACATTCAATCTACCCAATTACTGCAAAGAAACATTAGTAGATGTTAATTATTTTAATTAGTTTGTTGAATATCATATGATATTATATTTTATAAATTGGTTCCTTTAAATAATTTACATACTAAATTTTCCTTAATTTTCTTAATTAAATTTAATTTACTTTTAACAAACATTGTATTTTTTTTATCACAATTATATTAAATTTATAATAAATTTTGAAATAATTCTAATTTAAAAGAAAACAGATATAATTGCGAATTAAAGCATTTACTATTAGTTAAAGAAATTAACTAAATAACGACGTACTGTGTAAATCGTTCAAAGTTTCATTATTTTCATAAAATAAATTTTTATCACTTAAATTTTCTTGCGTATGAAATCTTCCAAACATAGTCAAATGAATAATCTCCTTGATAATCAATCCATCTATCTTCTTTTTATATTCTATAAATATCTAATTGATTTTAATAACAATACATATATGTCTATTTATTAATTGTAATTTATTATCGTACGTAATGAAATATTGTTTCAATTGATAATTTAAAATTGCCCAATAGGATATAAATATGCGCACGGAATGCGTTTTTCTGACGTTATTTAGTGAATGTTGCGTTAGATTCTCCAATTGAAAGGAAAAGAAAAAATGCTCAATTTATATTTTAGTGTATGACGATGGCTGTGCGAATGAGAAGAGATGATTTGTACTGAGACAGATTTAAATTATCTTATCGGTAGTGTATTACGTCAATTACGCATCTCTGAATGAACTCGATTGCACCGAACTGTGGCACAGAAATATTACCAAGATTTTGACATTAAAAGAAAAATCGTGTATTAACCATATTAGTGTGTGTTTGTGTGTGTGTGTGTGTGCGCGCGTGTAAGCTTCCTTCGATGATGCTAAAAGTCGTGGCTTAAAATGGCAAAAAACTGATCTTCAAGTAATCATAATTAATTTATTCTTAATAAATAAATCAATCAGACACGATAAATATCAAAAAATAAAATATAGCAAAAGTAATGAAAAATAATATATATATCACTATTAAGTCAAATTTTGCGTTTAATGGAATTTGATGCTATAAAAGTTAATACATTAAATGAAACAACTTAAAAAAAAATATTAAACGTATCAGTGAAAACTACATATCTCATGATAACTATTATCATTACCACTATTATCATTATTTAACTAATTTTTATCTATACAAAAGAAATAATAAGATTGATAATAAAATTATCATCCTTTTTCCGACTAAATAACTTATAAATGAAATTATCAATACTTTATAGAAATTTGATTATAAATATTATTTGAATTTTTTATAGTGTAACAATAATTTCAGGGTAAGTAATGATGTTAAATATATTGAATTAAAATGCATCTAATATAAAATTGATTTAATCTACTATTTACCGTACTTCAAAATGTTTATTTTAAATATTGCTTTTAATTTTTAATATCAATTTAAAAGTGAAATTGATTGATGTGCCATATTTCAAACAATCAAACCACAATGTTTGTGATAATTTTTATACATTTTCAAATCCTATGATATCTTTACCAACTAACATATTTTACTTTTATATTTATCTTTGATAAATTAGTTATTATTCATTATATAGAAATAGTATAGTAGCAGTGGAAGACTTACTATAAAATTTCTATATTTTTATGATAAAATTCAAAACATGTATTTTATTAATGAAAGTATTTTAGTATTTTACGGATATTATCGTATAATTGTGATTCAAAAATTTATAGAGAAATGAGTATACATAAGGATATGTAATGTTTACTGTAATTGCAAAATTCTATATTTATGCTCATATAGCTTTATTCACATAAAACAGTTTCATACATTTTTGATAATTCTTGGAATAAAATAAATAAAGAAGATACTTTAATTTTTCTTTTAAAAATAATTGTAAAAACAATATTTATTTCTTAATTTATGATTCAAAGTATATAGGTAGAATATAAATTATTTTTCATTAATTTTTTAAATTACACTTAAATTTATCCCTAATATCATCTTAAAAAAAAATAAATTTTATTTTTTATTCAAATTGGATATTTTAATTTAAGAATATATGTATAAAGTAATTATTTTTCAATTAAGAAAAGTATGAAATGAATTATCGAGAGATAGTAATTAGATATTAGAGAAAACTAGAGAATAATAATTATCTAGAGAAATACGTATTTAATAAAATTTATTATATAATTTAAAGAATGCATATACACAAAATTAATAATAAAAAATTTTATTTTATTATTGGGAATAATAACTAAGATTAAAAAATTAATAATTATATTCAATTCAATTTTATACCGTATTTTCATAATTTAAAATAATATAATTGAATCAATGAAAGCGTAGAATAACTTATATACAATTTAAAATTATATAATATATTATTCAAACTAAAATTATAAATTACTTGTTTATTTACGTGCTAAATGCAATATTAACCCGTTCGTATATAATACGTTGAATACGTAATGTTTTTTTTTATATAACAATATATATTTCATTTTGTATAATAAAATGTGTACCGTATAAAACTTAATAAAAGATATAATGTGATAGTACCAAAAATTTACTATGACAATAGATGATAAAAATTTCAGGGTAAATTTTGTTTATTTTTAGGATAAATGTTAAACCATAGGAAATGACAAATTAACTGACAAAGACAACTTATTTCATTTTAGCATACAAAGATAAATTTTAAGATATGTTTTTATATAGTTAATTGAAATTGAAATGTTTTAAAAAATTATTTATATGTTTTGATTTAATTAATATTTACTATTTTAATATTAAATTATCTATTTTTAATAAATGGTGGGAATTCCATATAAAATAAGAACTACTGAATTTTTAAAATCTTAAAACAATTTTTTTAATATAGTTAATCAATAACTGAAATAGAATATTATGAACTATAAATAAAAATAATGATTGTCATTGCCACCTTTTTTCGAATCGTTTGATCAGAAAACATTTATTATAAAGTATAAATTTGTATTTGTAAAAAATTATACTTATTTGTTGATAAATTTTTTTAAATATCCATTATTAAAAAATTATTCCTATCCCGTTTTTAATTTAACAATTGTTATTATCCCAGTACCTACTAATCTATTACCATTTGTCGATTCAAGCAAGTATTTCAAGTTAAAATACAAAACATTTCCAGCAAAATCATATGTTGACCGTATAAAAATAAATTATTTTTTAAATTGTCGAAAATTTGTTTGATTCTAAACAATATATATAACAGTATATCTTATTTGCAAGAAAATTAAATGTATAGTAGCCAGTATGAAAATATTGAATAAAAAAGCTTGTATTCAAGTGTTAAGTTTGATTATTATTTTTGTGAATTGCGAAGAAAAATTTGTACAAATATCATTTGAACTGGAATATTTGTTCGATACTATTTTTCAGCAAATACAAATTCACGAAGTTATATTAATGTATACTACTGATAATAATAACAAATATAATCCTATGGAAAGTTTAATTGCTCGAATGGTTGTAAGTCGATATCCCACTAAAAACTGGAACTTTCATAAATTAATTCTGAAAAATACTGACAAATCCGGCAAAATCAAACAACTGGCTTTAAATAGAACTACCATTCTTTTTATAAATATCTTGAAAATGAATGAATTAGCATATAAAGCGAAGGAAAAGTTCTTAAAAAGATTGAGAGCGATTTCTCTGGATACCTTTATCTCTAAATTTCTTATATTTATATTAAACGATAAAGAAGGAATGAAATTCGAAAAATTTTTTAAGTTAGCCTGGAAAAACGAACTAATCGACATTTTCATTCATGAAATTATTATTAGATCAAACAAAGAAGGAAATAAGAATATCTTCGCCGACACAAAGTGCGTGGATTTTCGAAAAAGGAAAGGATATTCTCAGAGTATTTTGTATAATTCCAGTTTTACTAACATTATTCATAGTTTTAATCCATTTACGGAAGTTTACCATCGCGAGCCCTTTAATAATAAAACGATTCTATTCCCTGATAAAATTAGAAACTTGTACAAATATAAATTACGAATCGGTGTGGTAGATTATCCTCCGTATTCAGATGTGAGGCAAACGACGGATGGAAAAATGCAATTCTATGCTCCTGGCGGGGAGCTCATCAAGAGCTTGATAAAACATATAAATTTCACGATAGTCCCAGAAATTGGATCATTATCCCAATATGGAATTTTGCTACCTAACGGCTCAGCCACGGGTTTGCTAGCAAGGATTAAAAACAACAAATTGGATGCTATTGCTTTTGGAGCTTTTGTCTTCCACACATCATATATTACAGAGGTTATTTTTAAGCATGAAAATAATTCTTTTATTTTATTTCTGCAGCCAAAAATTTAATTATATGATTTCGTAAGGCAAATATTTTCTTTTTTATCAACTCAATTGATTAAATTATTTGCAATCACAAATATGTTGACTTAAAAATTAAAAATTTATATTATTATACTAATGAGCAGTATTTATGATTTTTTTTATTTAAATAGAAATTCATACACTTATATAATGTAAACGGGTCTTTTAATAATAACGATTTCATATACTTTCATAAAATAATCTATTACTGATTTATGGTATCTTCCTTATATGTCTATTACAATAAGAGTGTATAACAGTACAATCCATACAATAGTTAAATAATTATAATATTAATCCAGTTTGATTAAAATTCTAATATTGGCATTGAAACTGTTACATGAATAGGTCGACCGAACCATGTACTTGAATTTAGAGAAAATCTGTGCAGTTGTACCTCTAATACGCTCTAAAAGGCTCTACATCCAAAGGAGTGTATGGATCTCGTGCATCACTATCATTTGTCTAGTCATCCTGGTGTGGCTATTTTCTTTTATCCTCCGACCCCACGGAACCTTCTCCTGGAATCTCCTACATATAAGCTTAATTGTCTTGGGCATATCTGTACCCGGTCAACCAACAATCTTAAGGGAAAGATTCGTCTACGGTAGCGTCATAGTAGTGGCATTTCTCTACTCATCTAGTATCTTCGCCCAATTAATGAGTATAAATTTTCATGCAACCTCCTTCAAATCATTCAACAGCTTGGAGGAGCTCAATGAATCAGGACTAATTCCTGTGCTACATCCTAATTTATACAATTTAACATTTAAATTTGGCAATAAAATTTTACAGAGGTAAGTACGTTTTATTCGAAGCAAACTGTTAAATTTAAAGCTGAATCAGTGCTGATTTTTTTCATTTGTCCCAATACCGAGAGTTTAAATATAAGAGTTCGTAAAAAAAAAATTCTGATATTGAATTAAATCTGATTATTCTATACACACATGTACTGTCAGTAATATAGCGTGTACATTAAATATTTTGCATATTGCATATCCAGAGTAAATACTAGATAATTGCATAATTACCCATCGTATTAAATATAAATTTCAATATTAGCAATTATAAGATATTATAATTTGACGATTCTAATGTTATATATAATTTTTATTGTTTTGGTGTTTTGCGGACTATATCAATATGTAGAGCAACAATATTGCAATAATTATTAAAACATTTTACTTACAAGTATTGGCATATTTATTTGGTCATTTAACTGCTTAAAGCAAATATAAATAAATTCATAATTATCATTAGTTGTCTCTTAAAGGGCGTGATAAAATGGTGAAAGAAAAATTGTTAAAAAAAATAAATAAAATCAATACTTGCTTGGATTACAGACTAGAATTAGAAATAGAAATAAAAATAAATAAGTATTGATTAATGATAATTCTCGGCAATTTTTACAAACACGCATTGTGAGGAATAAAATATAAAATGTATTTCAGCATGGGTGCAAAATCGGTTCTACGATCGGACTATTCCGAGATCTGTCCGATCTGGCTTTGGGAAAAAGCTAATGTAACCTGCATAATTGGCAGCACTATGTACGACTTTTTATCAAAATTGTATAGGGACAACCCGAAACGAGTTATGAAGCTTGCGAGTCCCTGTTTCTGGTCGGCATCGCGGGCCCTAATCTTGCGCAAGGCCTCGCCTTACACCCACCGATTCAGTACGATTATTCTCAGAGTCATAGAGGCTGGTCACATGAAGCGCGCGACAAATCTCTATGTCTTCGACTTTATTCAGCGACGAAACATCTCGCAAGAATCGGACGAGACCTTGTCGGAGAAGAGAATGGCCGTGAACGTCCAGCAGATGACCTACTCGGACGTTACAGACGCATTCGCTGTCATGATAATTGGGACGCTCTTTTCCATTTGCTTTTTCCTAGGAGAATGCGTTATCTTTAATGTTCGCAGCAGATATAAAAGGAAATCAATCGCCCTTGTGCGCTATTGGTGCACAATCAAATAATCAACGATAATATTTATATTCGTGTTATATTTGTCTAATTGTCTAGATATTCGATCTGATTATTATAGGATAGTATTTGCATGACTTGAAATTTGTCCAACCTTTACCTTTACACGTAACTATAGGGATATGCTGCTAATAAACGTTTTTAGAGTATTTCAAAATTTATACTGCCTCTTGTATTTACTTATAATTGGCAAAATTATTAATAAATTATAAAAATTTATTTAAATATTCGTCTAATTATAATAGTAATTTGAAACATATGATAGAAATGTGCATAGTATTTACATGCACGCAAATGCATACTCGTGCACCAATGTACGAAAATATCCATCAATACTTACTTCCATTTCCTATTATTCCGTTAAACAAATATTTAAACGATAATATGTACGCATTCAACGATTAATTATAATTTAATTAGCATTAAAAATTAAAATATAGGTTTCATAATGATCCCAAGGATGATAATTCAATATTTTATTGTGCAGGTAGAGTAATATTTACGATTTTTTTTTAATTTTTTGTATTGTAAAGTTCAAAAATGAAATTAGGTTTCAATGTTAAAAGTTAAAATTCAAAAAGAACCTGTAAGTTCCAATAATTTTAAAACAATTTTTTTTAAATATTTAAAATCATGCAATTATGATATTACTAAATTATATATATATATATATATATATAATATACATTTATAATATATGCATATTAAAATATTCTTAAAATTTGAAATTTCAATAGTATTTTTAAATGTTAACTCGATATTTTAGAATCTACTATGACTACAGTTTTTCGAAGTAAATTTAAAGATCATTTGAATCTTACTAGATGATTATGCTAATATATCAATTACAAGATAAAAAGATACAATAAATATCGTTTTAAATTGAAATTGCAATAGTCAAATTGTATGGAATTTGTCATAAAAACTTTTTATTCGCAAAATACTTATAAATTTCAAGAATTTCAAGAACACACATAAAAATCATACGAAAATACAAACATCATAAAGTGTAGAATAAATTTTATGAATAGCAGAACATTAATTAATTCGATCGAGATAAAACAAAAGATATTTTTCTTCTTAATTTTCATTATCCTCTTTTTATATAAAAAGTCCTCTTATATATATATTTTAATTTATAATTTTTAAAATTTCTAAAAACTATTAAAATATATAGAAACTAAATAAAAGAATTCCAATTTCAAGAATAATAAAGTACAGTATTTATTTCAAACAAATAAAAAACGAAAGAGAAAAGTATGAATTAGATAAAATGGCAAATACTAAATATCTGTGAGAATATAATATCAAATAATAAATATATTTCCAAAATAAATAACAAAAAAGTGAAAAAAAATTAATTATGCACAGAACTTGAAAAATTGATAAAATTATATTTTCAAGAAAAATACTCTACTAATGCCATAATTAAATGAGAAATTACAAAGGCCATAAGATGTCGAAAATAACAAGACTAAAAAAAAATTTAAATTAACAATAAAATGCTTAATCGTGTCGATCACAAATTCAATTATATCATAAATGAAAGTAAAGAATACTATTCAAATACAAAAATGAAGTATGTTATTAAAATGGTGAAGTCAATAAGTATTGAAAAAGGATCAAATCAATTATTCATCTAAGTCCAACTAGGACGATAAGGTAAGTTCACACGTGAAAGAAAAGTAAATATATAATTAAACACATAAATAAATATACAGTAAACAATAATTTTTGTATAAAGCATTTAATTTTTGAGTAAATGATTTTGACAAATGATAAATTTTAAATATTTATTGTAGATGAAAAGAAATAACTCTATGCATTAAAAATGAAATTCGTTGTATTTTTTTTAAAAATAAAAACAGAAATAAGTCGAAATTTAAAAAACATAAATTCATCGAAACTTTATTATGTTTGAAAAATGAATGAAACATACTTCAGTTATTAATTTAATCCAAATTATCTGATTAGCATCTTTATTTAATTTTGTTTTCGTGATATAATGAATGGAACATTTCTTGAATATCGATACATTTAAATTGCAAATAGACTAATATAAATCAATCAAAGTGTAAATAGATTGCTATTTAGAAACTTCGTTATTAGTATAAAAACTTCAAATTCATAAAAATAAAAGAATAAAAAATTGTATCTGTAATAATCGACTATTTATTAACTGACATGACATGTGGAATAAGAACAAGAATTATTATTTTAATTATATTATATTATATTATATTAATATAATGCCATATAATTATATTATATTAATTTAGCTATATTTCATATGGCATTTGTACTTGAGAAGTTGCTTATTTGTAACTATTAAAAAATTATTTTTATTATAAAAATCCTATGCTTTAAATTATACGCAGTTAGTTATAAATGTTCTTGACCTTACTACATTCAATTATTGACCTTAAAATATGAAGTTTATAGACTACGTACAAATTATGAAATAAATTCTTCAAAATAGTTAGTTAATAATTTAACTTCAGTTAATGTTCTTAAATAATTTTATAATCTTTAGTATAACATCATAGAAAATATTCTTGTTATATCGATATAATAATTACTTTTTTTACATTATAAATTTTATTATTACTGAATTACTGCACATATTTTTACATTTTAATATAACGGAAAAATCTATTAATACATAACTACAAGTTGATAAAATTTTTCATATAAGTATGGTGAATTTTTATATTTTTAAAATAAGTTTCACTTTTTCGAGGTCAAAAGTTCACAGATAAATTTAGATAATAACTTTCTGTAATTGATATATAAGCATTTGCCCAATAATATTTGAAATTTTTGCTTCTCACAAGCTTGAAAAGTCGAAACTATAGGTTATTATATAATAAGTTTCTTTAATAATTTATTCTACCATTGTTGTTTTTATTATTTAGAAATGTGGCTGATATTAATAAATATATTTATTTTATTAATATTTATATATTTTACGCAGTCTTTGCGAATAAAACTAAAGGGTGAGGATTTTTTACGAAAACAAGAATTAGTTTTTCAATTATTATGGAACACAAAGGTTATGTCGAAAAATTATTCTGTGGTTTTTGAAAGAGTGAAAAATTATAGAATCGAAGATGTCAACAAAGTGAATTGAAATTTTAAAAATTTGAATTGCATGACAGCGGAAATTATCAATAAACTAAGCTTGTTAGTAAATTTATTTTAATAATTTGTTTTGAAAGTATCATCATGTATCAAAGGAGACATACTAAAGGAATATAATTTTCATTCCTATATTTACGGTGGTGTTTACTTATATTTTATAAATGATATCAATTCATAAATGCAACTTTTTAAGAACACATTTTTAATTCAATGATTTTCAAAGATATAAAATACACTTAACAATATCAAATTATTTCATGAATGCAATTATATGAATAAAAAATTTGTTTTATTTAAATTCTTTTGTGAGAAATAAAAAATTTACTTGAGTTAACAGGTTAATATACTTTAAATTAGAATTTGTATATGACGATAAAACGAATTCGCTTATAATTCAAAAAGAAACGTTATATGATAAGAAATTTTATTTCTTTATTTAAAGTCAGATCTAATTTATATGGCTCATGATGTATGAAACTTAATTAAAGCAGAAAATGTATTGTAAAAATTGCAATCTTGTAAAAATTTATTTCGTTAAATAATGTATTACTCAAATGTAAATATAAAAGTCAATAAATAAATCAGTAGAGTTATCCGTAACAAATCAGTGCTGTTTACCATTGCTAAGAAAATTCAAGGTGACACTGCAAAAATGCCTTATAAATCTATTATAAATGCTCTCGTTGCCGAGTATTCGAGAATCTAATATAAATTTTATACTTTTAATGAGCAATCACTTAGTTTTATTGTAATATATCTAGCGAAAGTTTAAATAAAATGATACTGTTTAAGTACTAATATGGTTAACTGACTAAATTATTATTGCAATTTATTAATTCAATTTAAATACATTTATTTGGTATATAATTATAAGAAATTTGACAAGTAATTGTAATAAAAGAAGAAATAATTCACTGAAAATTTTTAGGTTTATTAGTGATACTATATAAATAACGTATGTCAGTACTTATAGGGAAGTCGTAGGCAATACAAAATACAACAATTATTTATAGTTTATCCAAAACACATTCATTATGCGATCAATACATTTAGGAATAATTGATATTTAATATAATATTTAAAATTTAATTTTTCATAATTTTTTTATTTAATAAATTAATATAATTTCAATTTTATTAAAACGTACTTTAAAATGAAGTAATTATTGTTTGAAATCTTTAATATAGAAATTGAATAATATATTTTTGCTATTTAGTGTATCAATGAATATTTTTTTATATTTATCAATAAATGCGTATTATTTAATAAGCTGGGCTAAAAGACTTCCAAACTTCATTTGAAAATCCTCAGAATTATGCAAAAGATTTCGCGGCTCAATTGAAAGATGGCTTGCTGCCACGTGGCCAAGTGTACTTCCCTGTTACATGAGGAGGACGTTGGCGAGGTCCGTATCCTCGCCAATGTCTTCTGCACTGCCAAGAACTTCAAAGAATTTGCGACTATGCCCACGTGGTTGAGTCTTATCGTCAACGAGATCACGAGGCTTCGCGCGTTTGCCGTAGCCGTCACCCATAGATCCGACACTAGGTACATACAACTACCCAACCTCTGAGATTTTTCCGCATTATTTCTTCAATAAGGATATCATAATACAAACTTATCGCATCAAGACCAGAGAGGTTACCAGTAATTTCTTGAATTATTCTTTAAAATATTACTATTATATGGTCGATATACTTTGTTAATGTTTTATCAATTAAGATAAATAATAATTATTTCACCCTTCATTCATCTATACAAAAAATTATTTCAACATAGTTGTCATGCATCTTTTTAGTGTTAATATTTATTATTCAAATGGCATTAAAAACAAAAATAATATTATTGATAAGATAAAATGCAAGCCAAAGAATATAAATTCTAGTTTTACTTTAGAGTATTTTTCTTTTCTCAATTTTCTTTATTTACCGTTTTGTATTTATCACGCACAGGTGGCAGCGGGGAATATATAATCGATGCAAATTATACGGATTCATTCCCATCGCAAATTCAGGACGATGAGCACAAGTTGAGCTACTTCCGCGAGGACATTGGTCTCAACGAGTTTTATTTCCAGTTTACATGTAGCTTTCCCTTCTGGATAAGCGTCAATTATCACAAAATGTAGAATAGCATGCGGGGCGAGCTTTACTACCATATGCATAAGATATTACTGAACAGGTATAAGCTCGAAAGGCTGTCACACGGCCTTGATGAAATCAAGGATATTGATTGGCAGCAACCGATCGTTACTGGCTACTATCCCAGTCGATTCAGAGGTCGATTAAGGAGACCAAAGCCCACGTGCCCATTTACAAGTACAAGTACCTAGAGCCAAGGTTCTCAGCTTTAATGAACGAATTTCATGTATATACACTTTAAAATCATTAACTAATAAAAGCTAATAAAATGTTCGTATTACACTAGATACTTCTCTAAACGAATATACAAAATTTTAAAGCAACATTGTTTATTCATTTTTATTAGCATATATTTTATTATAATGCATTCTTCTTTACATATGCGCATAGGTAGTATAATATTTTGAATTTAATTTGTAAATTTTCCTAAGATTATAAGTAAGGCTTGATTCTAACTCATATATAATTAACTAATTTCAGTAGCTATTCTAAGCGTTTACGTTTAATTTAATTTATTCAAAATTTAAGTAGCATACTTACAAAACTAATAAAGGGTGTCATCGTTGTCGTATAAGTGAACGTTTCGGATAGAAGCGTTTGAGTTTCATGACTGCACCAATTTTTTCAAAAAACTTAATTTAGGAAATAAATCACTACGAGTCTCAAATCTTGAGAGCCCTGAAAATCTTCTTGTAATTGTTTGAAAAATAATTTGAGCATAAAGGATATTTATTATTTTTATTTTATAAGATAATAATTAATGAAATTTAATTTGATGAACAAAAGTGGCGTGTGAGTTATTTACTCTATTTTTTAAAATAAAATAACTTATTAAAAGTGTTTTCTCTCATAAATGAAATAACGCAATATATAAAGTAGTTAAAATAATATTTTATTTGTCGTTTCAACGTAATATTTCTAATCGCTATATACTGCAAAACCTTTCCATTAAAACAAAATAAAAATCTAAATATTCAAAATATTTTTAAAGTAAAATGCTCTCAATTCATGGGCGTTCCACTATAAATATTATTATACATTCGATCAGATTTAAGAAGAACTTGCCAGCTTATATGTCAGAGGACTTGGATTTTCCGAATGTGCGTATTGACTACGTGAATGTAGGTAAGCTCATTATGTTCCTAGATGTCTTTCAATCCATCCTCAATCATCCGCGGGTACTTCGATTAGACGGTAATCATGATCAGGATTCGCAGATGCCGATTGTCAAGGCACTACGATGAAATCATATTAGCTACGATTAAATTATAAGTCTTTCGCTTACCAAATCGGCGTGAGCAGTGAAATCACGACTAAGGCCATCTGGGACCCAGGCATGACGTCTACGTAAACGGGCTCGAGTTTACCGACAGTTTCAGTGATTTTTACGAGCTTGATCACTGGGTCGTAAATTGTAAGTAATTATATGTAGCTATGGATAATTATCTAGTTCTCAATTTACATTAGTCTTTTAATAAAAGCACTTTAAACGATAATACCGATAATAGATTAGAGTCTGTGATTACTAAATTTTAAAGACTGCGTTGTATATGATCTTATATACTGTTTTACGTATAAATAATTTACAATACCATTTGTAAATTTTCATTATAAATATTATACGCCTTTGAAAAATATATTGATTAACGCATTAATTGATTTCTTTTTAATATTTAATTAATGCAGCCATTTTTAATTATTTATTTTAAGCAGTTTATAATATCTATTATAAACTATATATAATAACGTTCCTCAATCTTATATTTATAGAGTTAGTGTCTCATTGTTAAATATTATGTTGTAACATTCAAAATAAGAAAATACTAACTATTTGATTTTAATAATTTTCCGAATAAATTAAGCGGCCAATAATTCAACGTTTTACGCTCAAAGGCAGCAATAAACTCGAGCGCAGTGACGTGGACTCGGTGTATGGCAATCGAACTCGCTATCCGGCGACCATTACCTACGCGTCTTGGGCAGGGTGCTGAAAGCGTCCGATGATGGTTTGGTATACGAACCACGAATGCTACCGCGAGACACCAAGTCTGGCTTTGGACTGCGGGTTTTTGTTTGCCTAGATCCGCTAAATTAGACGGAGCTCTTCACCTATGGGCGCGCCATAAGTTTCCTCCTTGATAGGCCGCTGGCGAATGTTAGTACATTGCGCAACATTATGTTTCAAGACGTATAAGTATACCACGTGGATGCTACTTTCTATGTTGATTAATTGAATTCAATCGAACAGGCGCATGAGCATACCCGAGTTTTCTTTTTTCCGGTTCGTACAAATTGGGGACGTACAGTCAATTGGTTATCTGAACAGTAATTTTGAATTCAATTATATAATTTTATCGCTAAAAAAACACAATGTATCTTGATATATTATAAATGTCTTATTTATACGATTGAGTAAAATAAAGTAAACCTTATTGTGCAATAACAAGTTTATGTATCTCACGCGACATTGTCTTCATGGATTTTCCAAAATAATAATGAAATACATTGACATATGTGTACAAATTTTTATTCATTTACATGTATTACAATATTTTTATGAATCGACTTAGCATTAATATAAATTTGTTACATTTTATATAAAAATTTTAGTTAATGATTATAAAAAAATTTAACACGTATATAATATATATGATACTTATTTTATATATATTAAAAAAAAAATCAAACGTGCTATTAGAATATGCTTGCATATTCATAGAAAACTTATGATACGTATATTTTCAATTCTATGGACGAATAAAAACAAAGTTAATAAGCTTTCTAAATATTATAATTTACTTATAAAGAAGAAATAAATGTAAATTTTAAATCATTTAATGTATAATTCAGATCATAAATATCTGTTAAATTAATTTAAAATTTAACAGCATACAAATCAATAAATTTATGTATGATTTTTTATCGACATTTTTATTTACAATATTAGAATATTTAGTATTAAGCAATCGTTATAATTAAATAATATTATTAGAATTATTGAGGCTTATAATTTATTAATCAAGTATTAATATATTGTTAGTGAAGAGAACAAAAACTGAGAATTTTACTAGAAATGAAAAATTATCGAACAATAGGGCATATAAATAAATGTGTGTAATGTATTGTTTTAAAAATTCCGCAAATTAAACATTTATACAAGTAAATGCAAGTGCAATGTCCTTATTACAATTAAAACATAAAAATGGTAAATGATATATAAATGAATTATGAGTACCTAGGCATTAATTATATTACAATTATAAATTTTAATTATTTTCTAAAAAAGCTTTTCGTATCTGTATTATTGTAAATTTATAATTGCTTAACAGTAGATTGGCAGCATTAGTAGACTTTCATTTTAGTTATATTTAATAATGAAAAAGTCTCACGTTTATTGTGGTTTTTATTTCAAGTTTGAAGAAAGTATCCATTATCGAAATTTACCAATATCTCCAACTTGTATTCAAATACATAATTTATAATTTATACAAATAGTTCTATAAGAAAAATTATAATTAGTGTTGAAATAATCTATAAAGTTTAATGGTTTATCACAGCATAATAAAAATCTTCAAAGAGGACTTTGTTGAGATTAAAATAATAATTCCTGATAAAATTTAGAAAGAAGTTTAGAATTAAGAACTGACTTTCGTAGGGTTGAATGTCAAGAAGTTGGGTTCGTAACTTATGAAAATATTAATGGAAATTACATTTTATTAACATGATATATATTTTTTCTTGTACCGAATGTAAATTATTACATCAAATCTTAAAATCGTATCTTTTGTAAAAGAAATGAAAGTCAATTAAAAAAGAAAAATGTTTATTATTGAACATTCATATTTATTATTATATTCTATTTTAATGAATAAATCCATAATTGAAATTAATCTAAAATTTATTATATATATCATTAACTTGTATATAAATTTAATTATTTGAATTAATAACTGAATATAGTAAGAAATAATTATTAGAAGTGTAATTTAGTAATGGTACAATTTATAATGTACTTTGAATTTTCCGTCTAATTTATATAAATAAAATAATAATATTAACACATAAAAATATATTTATTCTTTCAATTATACTTTATCGAATCTATATTGAATTTTAAATATCTGTTTGTTCCTATTTGAAATGAAAATAAATTTCAAATGAATTCACAATTAAGACTAAGACTGCCATATATTTTTTCCATTGGGAATGTATCATTCACCTAATGTACAAATAGGCAAAGAAAAAATAAAAGTATAATACACATGATCTAATTTCTAGATTACTCACTTCCAAGATTCCTTCCATTTATCTAAGCAAATTTTTTATCATACGGAGGTTTCGGATGTTTTTCTATTTCGATTGATTTTCTTTTGCTTGATGTTCTCGGGAGCGCTATCATTATCGGAGACGGAAGAATCTCTCATTAATTTCCGACCAGAAATGCCGCGACCAATGTTGCGCTCTTCGTTCTCCGAACCTATGGATTCGCGATTGGATTTTCGCCTCTGCCGCTGAGGAGCTTGGTTTTGTGCTTCCATCGCCTCACGCAAGTGTTTGCGTTTCGCCTCCCAAAATATCTCCTGACGCTGTGATATTTCAGGATATCTAATGGTTCATGGAAAATAATAAGCATAATATGTGAGAATTTGGTTATTTATAGCTTCTTGCTGATTTTGAAATAGATCGTTTTATTATTATACAAGGATAATTATTTATATTTAATTAAACTAGTTATGCTTATTATTGTATTAAGTAATGATTTACCGTTCAGAAAATTCTTTACTGGGATTGACTATTAAACGCCAACCTTTCTTTGGTTGGTGTTTTGCTATATTAGTAAAAATTTCCCTTATTTCTTCAGCTGGTAATTTGACAATAGAAGAGACTGCTCTTCTATCGACAAATTCATGTTCAGTGAATGATAATAGCTAAAAAAGAGTATTACAATCTTTGAAGTAACAATCGTTTTGTCAAGTAGCATATTCTATCTTTAAGTAATGAATATGTGAAATATGAATATAGCTAAATACAATGATTTACATACAACATAATCTCTAGCTCTACACATAAGCTCGGCAGGGATACCACTGTGAGCAGACATTGTATCCTTTGGATATATAAGTTCGCTATTTACTACCCAATTTCCCTGAACAAGCACTGCTACTTGTTGTAAGTATTTAAGAATAGCAGTTGTCTCATGTTCGGTGGACAAAATTGTTCGCAATTGTGCAAAAGACATAACCTTTGCTGAAAATAAAGCTTCTTTTATTCATCGAATTATGCGCATTTATAATGATTGATTTATGTTAATATTTCTAAATTTTAATACTTTTATAAATTATAATATCAGTATAACTTCAAATTTAGTTTGTATTGTTGCAATCAAATTCAATTGTATTCCATATTATTTTTTAATGAAATATCCACTTTTTTATTATAAAAGATTAATCGATATAGTTAAAAATATTTTAACATATTTATGTATCTTCTTAAAAATGCAAGATAAGCTTAAATGTTAAAATAAATAGCATTGCTACTTAAGCAGAATATTTTAATATTTTTACACTAAAAATAATATATTTTATATATAAAACTTATAGAATCAAATTTACCATCTTTCATCAATATTCTGACTTGGTCAAGTAATGGTAAAGTGCGAATATAACTGAGGGATGTTGTATGACTGGGAATATTAGCTTTTGAAAATTGTTCTTCCTTGAGCGGAGGAGCGAGTAAATCCAAATACTGTTTTGTTGATAAATTTAAATTATTTGCTGACTCATCATTGGTACTACAGAACATTTCCATTCGAGTTAACTGAAAATTAAAAATTATTTATTCATATATTCTGTAGACTAAAGGGTTCTTTTGACCACAAAAATTATTAATAAGTTTTGATTAAATTAATAAACCTCAGATAGAGAACTTGTTGCTGGCTTATACTGACATGATATCCATTGCTCTTCTAAACATTTTTTTGCATGTGTCTGAAACGACTGTTCCCTCATTTTCTTAATGAAATCTGGAACTTGTCTTGCAAATGTTACATTTACTTGTTTTGCAGGCTCATCTTCTTCTTCGGTATCTATTAGAATTTAATATATTTAATAAATTGAATATTAGCTGCCAAATTAAATTGATGTATAATAAAAATTAAATCAACAGTAACATTTATAAATATAAAAGAAATTTTATCATCACCAGTATTTTTTCCTTCATCCTTTCCTCGTTTTTCAATTTTATCCAGATAATTAAATTCAGGACGCATTTGTACAATTCCCTTCAGAGGAGTTATATGTAATTCACCATCTTGAAAAACTCCAATAGCATAATTATCACAGTTTGGTAAGGCCCTTGATGATTGCATAATTATTTTATCCATTGTGTGGCTATATATTGTTTATAAAATGAATTTTTTAATTCACTATTGAGATTTAAGAATAAAACATGCTTTATAAAATTTGTAAAAATATACATCAAACTATTAAAAACATGATTTAAAAAAATTTGTAAAAGAATATATCAAACTAAACCTATCAAAAATTCTTTCATCTTCTTCTTGATCTCGCTTTGAAGACATTTCAGCATGAGCAGCAATTGCTTGCCCTTTATTAACATTATAGTGAGAATCTTGTGTATTAATTTGAACTTCAATTACAACTTCTTGGTTTTCTGGCTTTATTGCAGTCTTAGTAAAGGTTGCATTATCATACCCTTCATGAGCTGCTTTCATTGGATATTGAAATATAAACAGCTTATCAGCAAGCTTTGTTGATAAAAATACTGGAATCTTAAATACAGAAAGACAGAATTAAATTAATTATTTGAATTATTTGATTTTATTAAAATTAATATGTATAAATTTAATAAAATTGGAAATAAATTGTTCCATAATTCAATATATTTTTAAATCAAATTATCAATGAAAAAAGTTTATAATTATAAATAGTTGTTATAGGCCTAATCTAAATAACAACCTTACAATAATATCAGTTAAACACACAAATGATCTTATTATGATACGTTATACATTAATTAATAGAAACTTGTAAATAAAATTATTATACTAGTAAAAATTAAAATTAACATTTAATTGTAGTTTCATTTTAACCTAAAATTTAAACGATGAATATCAGTTTTCTAGCCTTCATGAAAAACGGATATATTTAGTTATAAACTAAAAATTTTACCTCTTTGATTACTGGATCAATGCTATTCTCCATTGCTTAAAAATTTGATGCTATTGTTTGTTTTATAATAAAAAATCTATTTCTTTCGGGAAAGCTCTTCTACCTACGCATATAGTTTTATCGAAATTTCTGCTACAACAATGACTATGTAACAATAACCAATTCTTCTGCCATTTCTATAATTATAATTTCAATGAAAGAAGAAATCAATCTTCAATATTCATCTTCAAGACTGATTAGATATATTCATAGTTAAGATAAAAAGCTATTTATTTATTTTAAAGTTTAATGTGATCTTTTAGGTTATTGTATTGTAAATACAAATACCTATACTAAGTAATTCTCAATTGATTTAACTGAAAGTGAAAGATCTAAGAGACAGAAACAATTAAATTTTTTTCGTACAAGATCTTAAATTTTTATATATTTGTTATATCGATAGAACAGATAATAATTACAAAATAGCTTTGAAGCATATGTGACTTCTGATTTACATAATTAGTGCTGTCGTGGTTGACAATCGACAAGGAAAAAGATTTAGCATTGATGTTGATATTATTGTTCGTATGGGCATCACTTTGATTTTGTATGTTTTCTAATATTATTTAATTTAAAGGATTGAATTGCTTTTAAAATGATTGAAATTAAATGTACTGATAATTTTTATGCGTGACAGATAAAAGTATATTAATTGATTTTGATTAAAAAATTATGATAATTAAATAGAAATAGGTTAGTTTGGGAAATGTCAAATTTATAAATATATAAATATAAACGAATATTTTAGAAATATCAAATAAGTATTACCCTGTGCTGTGACTATGTTATTATTTATAAATATATGAACTTTATTTATTTATTTATAAATATCATGACAATAGTTCAAATTTAAATTTGAATCATAGCTGGATGAAAATTTGGTTTTTGTTGCAAAAAAGTCATTGGAATTAGTTTGTCATTGTAACTTTATAAATGAATTGAAAATATTTCAGCCCAGGTTCATTGTTTAATAATCTGTTTTACATGATCACATGTCTTTTAATTAAACTATTATATTTTGTCACATATCTGTAAAATAAAAATAATAATTTGAATTATAAATTTTAAAGGTTTTATCAATTATCAACATATTCAAAATGACTTCTGTATTCGACCAATTCGAGCAAGCTTCTCAAAGATCCAAGCAAACTGTGCCACCGCCAATTTGTCATGATATCGTAAGCCACACGATATGTCTATTATACTTTTAATTTATTTAATGATTAATTGTAATTTGTTTATAGAGCAGCACAGGCTTTATACAAATGAAACTTCAAGATGAAATTCCAATATTTATTAAACAAAAAGTTAATTTTATGCCATCCGACAAAATTTTACGTATCTGTGTCAGTAATAATTTCATTGTTATTGCCATGGCTAACAATGTTTTACTTAGGATTGATATGAAGCATCCTGATAAGCCTGAAGGTCAACATTAACATTTATTACATCATGTATTATAAATATTTATAAAAATTATATATATATATATATATATATTATATGATTAAAAATTTTGAAATTTTAGAAATTGATATTACAAAATATATTGGGAATTTGAGGTTGACCGGTATGTTTCTTGATCCTTTGGGTCAACATTTGTTGATGTCAACTGTACCAAAACAAGATGATAGTAGTTCACCAGCAGAAACTTTCTATTTACACAGAAAATCAACAAAATTAAAACAGGTTTAAAAACTTATTTAATTTTGATACTTTTAAATTAACAGGAATGAATATTCTTACAGATTAAAAAGAAAATGTTAAAGCATACGTTAATTTACTTTATTTAAATTTGATTCTCAGGCTTCTAAATTTCGTAATCATGAAATTACAGCAGTTGGATGGAATTACACAAATATATCAGAAACAACTTCTGGTCCAATTTTACTTGGAACGTCGAAGGGTCTTATTTTTGAAACTGAAATTGGTTTGGATGGTGACAAAATATTTACAACAAGTATAGAACAGTATTGGAGACAGGTATAATTTATATAAATATTCTATATATACATGTAGTTATATTAAAAAATTTATATATATTAATTTAGCTAAGTATGTGTATAACAAAATTTTTAATAAAGACGAAAGTAATATAAAGGATAAATTTTCTGAACTGTTAAGCTCAATCAATGTTATTTGTCCTTAAATATTCTTAAAGTTTAATTTAAAGTTATTAAATTAAAGTTATATGAAAATATTTATTATTTGTGAAATATTAAATAATTTTTATAATTAAAAAGTTCAACTACTGTTTTTCCATAGAATATTTTTTGTATTCCCTAGCTTCCAAATTATTTACCTCTTTATGTTAACAAAGAGTTGGAAGGACTGGTAAGTTTCTGTTTATAAATGTATATTGTATTTCATTTATGTCATTTAATATTTATTTGAAACATTATTTATTACAAAATGCTTTGTTAGTTTCGATTTTTTTAATATATGACAAAGATTATTTATGTTCTCGTATATTGGAGGATATGCAATTTTACACTGAAATATTTATTTGTTAGGTTTTTGATATTGGAAAGGATAGCAAGCCTCCAATTACTGATATAGAGTTTCGAAGGATACCACACACTGACAAATATATTATTATATTAACAACTCTTATTCGTATTTATCAATATATTGGAACTGTAACAAATCATGAAGAGAAACCACTTTTCCAACAAGTATTTAATAAATATTTAAACATTAAAGGTAAAAAAATTTAAATACAATAATACTGATGTACTATACAATTGTGTTAAATTATAAGAAAACGTGTCAAGTTTACTTTATAATTCATGATCTAATAAATATTATATACAATTCATAGAACGTTTTAATCAGTTGGAAAATTCATTACCATATTCAAAAATGCAATTCTACTACTCATCACCACAAGATTTTCCAAAAACCTTTAGTTGGTTGACAGAAAGTGGTATTTTATTTTCTCAGGTAAAATTTATAAATTGATAATTTTATTTTAAAATAAATCAGTTTACATTTTTACAAATTAAAAGCTTATTATGTAGTTATCAATGTTTATTTATTTCATTAAGGTGGATCCAAAGGCGGATTCTGAAAATATACTAATAAATCAACAGATGTTGCCATGTCCTGAAACAAGTCTTTTAAGCAGTAATATGTCAAGAAAGAAAAGTATCGCCCCACTGTCATTTGTTTTGACTGAATTTCATGTTCTTCTTTTATACAGTGATCATGTAAAAGGAGTCTCCTTACTCAATCAAGAACTTATTTTTGAAGACATTTATAATGATGTAAGGTTAAAGAATATTTGAACTCACAATTTATGGTAAAATTTTCAATTCAAACAATTTTTCATAAGAAATAATTTTATCATTGAAGATAAATTTTTGAAATATATAATAATTTTACAATATCTAAATTATACATTACCTTATGTATTACCTTATATATATATATTATAAAAATATTTATTTAAATTTACTTTTCTAGGCTTTTGGTAAATTAATAAATATTACAAAAGATCCTATAACGGGATCGATTTGGGCATTTAGTGAACGAGCAGTTTTCAAATACAAAGTAACTAAAGAAGATCGTAATGTGTGGCAGGTATTTCTACTTTTTAAATATAATGAATGAATATAACTGTACGAAAGGACAGAAAATAGAAAATGTTGTATAACATAAATTTAATTTAAGGTTTATATTGAAAAAGGAGAATTTGAACTTGCAAAACATTATTGTAAAGATAATCCTGCTCATATAGATCAAGTACTTGTGAAACAAGCTGAAATGTTATTCCAAAATAAAGAGTATGTATTAAAATTTAGGTAGAAAATTAAATTTTAAATTATTACATATTTTATTCTAGATATGAAAGAAGTGCACTTATATATGCTGATACTCATTCGTCATTTGAAGAAATTTCTTTAAAATTTTTACAGGAAAATGAAATAGAAGCTTTGAAAACGTTTCTAAAAAAGGTAGTTATTTAATTTATAGAATGTTTTATATTTTTATATTAATTATTTTCTAAAATATTGTAGAAACTTGAGGGCTTAAAAACACAAGATAAAACACAAATTACAATGATTGTAATCTGGGTTGTGGAACTTTTTATGAATCAAATGGGAAGTTTCCGTAGTATGGATACAGCGTATTTACAAAATTCTAGATACATTAAACTTCAAAAGGAATTCGATAGTTTTCTAGCCACTGATAAAGTCGAGGTAAAAATTATGAAATATGAAAATAAATAGATGAAAAAACATTTCAATATTGTTCTTTACATATAATGTTGAAAATAAATAGTTGAGAGAAATAAATGGTGTAAAGTTTGATATTTGTCTTTTTGAAATGATGGATTTACCTGATTTTTGAGGAATGGAATTGGAATAGAAAAGACAGGTTGATTTTATTCGTTGTTTTTTGAGAAGTAATAGATATGTACCGGTATGATGTGTTTCTAATTCGTTTATCAAGCATTTATTTCTATTCTTCTTCCCTTCTTTTTATTCTAGTTGATGTGAAGTTTTCGGATCAGAATAAAGAATCGGCGATGTATATGCTAAATTGAAAAATAATCACAAAAAATATATTTTATTATGATTAAATGTTTTTCTATATTTGCAAAATTGAATTTTATATAATTTTATAAAATTATATATTATATATGATAAAAATAAATAAATATCTTCTTTTTTTTTTAAATTAATTTAATACATTATTATTTAATGCTTTAATTCTATGAAATTGTGGTCTATGATTATAAATAAAATTTTTTATGTATAAATGTAATTTATTAACATTATGTTAAAAACTATTGTATTGTTATATGATCATAACAATTATTATTCAATATTATTCAATGATTATAACTACATTACTTTTATATTTTCTACAGGAATGTGTTCGAAAGAATCGTAGCACTATCTGTAATATTATGGCTAGTCATGGAGATAAAGATAATCTATTACGATTGACAATTATGAATAGAAATTACGAGGAAGTAATACGACAACATTTATATAAAAATAACAATCTTGAAGCTCTTGAGGTGCTTAAAAGTCAAGGGAATAAAGAATTATTTTACCAATTTTCTGGAATTCTTCTTCAAGAGTTACCAAAACAGACAATTGCAGCTTTAATATCTCAAGGTTCCTCTCTAAAGCCTTCAAAGCTTTTACCGGCATTGGTATCTTGTAAATGTGATGAAAAGCATGTAAGGCAACCAAACTTACTAAAAAAAAAAAAAAAAAAATGAGAATTCTTTGATCAATATTATCTATATTCTTTAAATAATATTCCTAAATTCCTCATTTAAAAGAATAAACTAATATTAAGAATACAATTTTCAATTAGTGTAAATAAAGCGCTCATCTAGATGTTTATTATTTATACTCAGAAAAAATTGAAAAATAAAAATTAATTTTTTATTATAATTTTAGAATATGATTTTTTGTGAAGATCTGTGAATCATTTATAATTGTTATTTGTTAAATTATTCGAATTATATAATGAAAATATTAATTTTACTTAGTAATTGTAGGTAATAAATTGAAGTAAATGTTTTTTTACATCTATATTGCACAAGATAATATCTATACGTATTTTACATCTATATTGTACAAGATAATTTATGCGTTTTAATGCCAATACATAATTATCTATTTTTAACATTTCAGGCAAAAGAAATAATTAGATACTTGGAACATTGTATCTATGAACAAAGTTGCCAAGAACAAGCGATTCATAACTTTTTACTTTCTCTTTATGCACGATATAAAAAAGATGAAGTGATGCGATACATTAGTTCTCAAGGTAAATTTATAATTAATTTTATTTTGTACAGATATACCATAAATGATTTGTTAAAATAATGTTTTAGTCTCTGAAAATAATTTTATGCATCCATTATAATATTTTACTCTACAGGCCAAGACATAAGTATGGTTCATTATGATGTTCATTACGCTCTTCGGCTCTGCCAAGAAGCAAATTTGACCGAAGCATGTGTACAGCTTTCAGCACTTTTGGGTCTTTGGTCAACTGCTGTTGATCTTGCTTTGAGTGTCAGTGTAGATTTAGCTAAGCAAATCGCTTCTATACCTTCGCACCATGGTAATGATGAATTGAGAAAAAAATTGTGGCTCAAAATAGGTAAACGAGCATTTAGAATTACATTGTATTTTTGTTTGGCGAAAAGAAAATCGTAATTGTAGGAATATTGCTTTTCAGCCGAGCATGTCGTACGAGAGAAAAACGACATAGAGCAAGCAATGGAGTTTCTTCAGCAGTGTGATCTAGTTCGGATCGAAGACATATTGCCATTCTTTTCTGATTTTGTTACTATTGATCATTTCAAGGAGGCCATTTGCAATTCTTTACAAGTAATACATTGTTTGTAACAACTGCAATTTTCATTGTAAATTTGATCTATAATAGACATCAATCATTATATTTATAGGAATACAATCGACACATTCAAGATCTCAAAGAGGAAATGCAAGAGGCTACAAAAGCCGCAGAAACTATACGCAAAGATATTCAAGCTTTTCGTACACGGTAATGATGTATTGTGAAAGTTATTATTAAAGAATAAATTTCATTTTAAGTCTACTGTTAAAATAATCTGCTAATAAATTTATACGACAAAAAAATTGGAGAAAGCTTAATAATTTAACTTTTAAATTAATTAATTGTTTCAGCTGTACTTTCGTCCATGCAAAAGACACATGTAATACTTGCGGGACTCAATTATTGTTGCGTCCATTTTACGTGTTTCCATGTAGTCATCGCTTCCATAGTGACTGCCTCGTCGCGGCACTAACACCGATGCTATCGATCGAGAGCCAGACGCAGCTTGCCGATCTCCAGCACCAGCTGACTCTGATCTCTGGGCGTCCCGACGAGCTGGCGGGTATTAGCAACCAGCAGCAGCATACGATCAGCGCCGACAGTGGAACCTCGGCATCTCTATCTACCAAGGAGCAAATTAAGGCAGACATTGATGAGCTGGTGGCTTCGGAGTGTCTCTACTGCGGGGATTTGATGATCGAGTGAGTGCTTTTTCCTTGTTACTATCTATCCATCCTTTTTTTTTTTTTTTTTTTTTTTTTTTTATTTTTTTTTTTTCTTTGAATGTTGCAAAAATGAGCTGATTGTTAGAAGTTATTATACCACGTTCGTGCGTGGCTGATGTAATACAACTGTATTACAACATTAATTTGAATTTTTTTTGCACATTTAAAGTATATCTATAATCGATTGACCAATAATGAGTTTAGAGTGGCAATGTTACAATAATGAATTAAGTGATTAAAATTATTAAATTAGTAAATATTAAATTAAATTTTGATCAATTTTTAATTAAAATATAATAAAATTTTCATTGTTATCTAGCTCAATTGACAAGCCATTTATAGAAGAAGAGGACTATGAAAGGGTTATGAAAGAATGGGCATAAAGATATGGAATATTTATTAAGTATATTAATAATAAACTTGAAATTAATTATTGTAAATACTAATGTAAAAAAAGAATTAAATATCTAACTATAGTAAATAATATATGTCATATTTATCAAGAATATATTCATTTTTGTGATAGTATTATATGCATTTATATATTTTAAATAAAAATTATATTAAATAACTTAAAATCTTTTTGCAGTTTTTAAAAAAGAAAAAATCATTAATATAATCAAAAAGTTTATGAATTAAATAAAATAATTGTTACAAATAATTTGTTGTACTATTTCCAATAATTTTCAAAATAGATTTAAAATATATAATAAATGGAACATTAAGATTTATTTATCTCTTTTGTTAACGGATTGATTATCTAAAATATAAGATCTTAATGGTTTGTTGGCCTATACTCAACTTGCACAATCGTTTCCTATTCTTGGGCACTGAACTATTTTGGATTCATCTTCATTACAATCTTCTTCTAGCCACATTCCTCTCCATGAATACATAGAATATTTACTATATTGTTTTTTAATATCAAGGCTAACTGAGCTTAGATGGTCCATTACATAATTATCTTTATAATTCTTATTTGTCAACAAAAGGTAGTATATATTCATTTGAAATTGACAAGATGGGGAGAGTGAGAGGTAGAATTTTAAATAAGGACTGGAATAATAAATCGATTACAAATAAGTAATACCTAAATATGTTGTACTGAAATTATTTGGGCTAGCACGGTTTAAATTGTGAGCTCCAGGATGTAGGAAGTGCTATATTGTCTGTTATAGTGCTATTTTGTTATATATCTGTTATAATGCTATATTTGTCTGTTGATTTAAGAAAATAATATCAAAAGCAATACAATGCTTAAAAATATTATTGGTTTTTTTAACGATACAAAGGAAAAAAATTTTAGGGCAGCTACATAGCACCATACTTCTTTACAGTCTGATCAGTAGAGTTTGTTGTACGTCATGATCACTTTTAATTGATCGTATTATTAAGGAATATTAAGATACTTACGTATGTGTAAGTTATAAAAATGCAAAAGGACTGACGGATATAAGAGCGTTGGCGGAGGCCACTGAATTATCGATCGTGACAATGTTTAATAATGTATTGTTTTTGGAGGACGGTAAAACGTTTCGCATATTTAAAATATCGAATAGAATAATGTTTGACAGACTTTTAACAAATGTATATTACATATTAAATCATTATTTTTTAAGTGTGCTTAATCAAGTTTAAGATTACCATAAAGATTTAGATTATGAAGATTATCCAAATTTACCAATCCAACAAATAAGAACAATTCAAAATATGCATATTCATATGAATTATTTTTATAAATAAATTTTAAATGGAACATATTTTTAAAATCTTTATTGTATATTTTATTTAATTTAATCTAGTTTTTACAATTGTATTATTGTAGGATATCCATGTGTTATATCCTTTACTTATTGGAAAAAAATGTATAGGAGCGAGAGGGGAGTTAACGATTAATGAACCTCGATAGTCATTGTATTTATGTTAATATATCGATTCATTTTCTTGAATATATATTGGAAACTATATGTTCAGCTTTTCATTTAAAATTGTTTTTCATTAATTTTGTGTCCAATGTACTATTCAACTATGATTTTAAAAATAGTAATTTCATTGTAACTAGTAGTCGAGAAATTTCTGCTCTTATTTAGTTTAGATTTGTTCATCGAATTTAGAGATACATCTCCAAAAATAATATTTTCGTTTCTAACTCTGATATATAACTTTTCGCGTCACAGTATATCTTAGTAGTTTTACACTCCCTTCTAACTGGTTCAGTGAATACACAACTAATAGTTTGAACTTTTCTCGGTATCTTATTTGTTATGTCAATATACGTGCACGTATGCACGGATGTATGCTTGTGATAATTAATGATTGAAATAGATGATTAATGGAATAGAAGGATTTTATTTTTCTTTTCACCCGACCAAATGAGGCGTTTTATACTTCATGATTAATAAATTGTTATTTTAATATAATGTCAAATATTTGTCTATTTAGATTTTAATTTTTTATTGCATTTCATATAATGATTAATGTTTTATTCTATTAAATATAAAATTGTATTAGATTTATTGCGGAAAATTGACAATCAAATATATAATACAAATTATAAAATTTATCAAAATAGTTCGATGTGAGTGCATATAAATAATATAATACATATATAGAATTGGTATAATCTATAGTACTACATAGTTATTATTAAATCTTATAAAATGATATTAATTATACTTATAAGTAACAAACGGTTATATTCTTTCTGATTTTAAAAATACAATATATAAAATTATTATTAGTATGATATCGTATAATTCTATGTTTGTTTTTTTTAATCGAAGAAGTTGGTTACTAGTTAATAATATTAATATCATCACTAGTCGAGTTTACTAGTCAATAATATTTATTAAATGGCGATGGTATATTTGCAAAAACATTTATTAGTATTAATAAAATTTGAATTATTTTTTGTATGAAAAGTGATTATAGTACAAATTTTTATATGTGCAAAAATTGATATATGCAAAATAAATGAATTAAAATGCCAAAAGAAATAAATAAAATTTAAGCATCAGACAAACTTGCACAACATTAATAAAATTATATAAATTATTTAATAAAATGCATTCGAAGTCACGGATACTCAGTGCCAACGACTCTATACTCATTATTTTATAATAAATTTGATCCTCTGAATACGCGTATGGAAGTTTGCATTTACACATTTTTATTATATATGTATTTTGGACTTGGTATTTACTCATTTCACGCTCAATACTTTCTATTTGTCACTTGCGCTTTTTTCTTTTATTTGCAGTAGTGTTGTCACAAATCCATACGTTGTTTGTATTATGTTGTATTATACTTGTATTTTATTAAAAAATCCTACAGAGAATTGAATGTACAGATTATAAATTTCAATTTACGACAGACGAGTGTGCGATTTATTCTCCAATTTTACTCATACTTAAAACCATTATTTGAAGATCCGTAATAGTAAGTAAAATTAGTTATGTTAATAATAGTAGGCGATGATGTAAATATTACATTATTTGCAATAGTATGTTCTATTTTTCTCTTTATAAATAATATTAAAATGTGTTAGTAGTTTTTTTGAATCAATAAACTTGATGTCATTCCCGACGATGACTAGATCTGTGTGAATACACAATGCGCTGCGACAGAGAAATAGAAGAGCTCGACTCTAAGATCTTTCACAATCATGTTGAAATCCAACGTATGTTGCTGGTCATCGGTGCAATCAAGGCCAATGATTTGATTATGAATCACCATGCAGGCTAGGGATTATTTCTTGGATACGCAAAGAAAGTTGCAGACATACGTCTAAGTGAAATTAATGAAAATTTCCGTCACTGTTTCAAGTACGTTGACACTAAAATAAGGCACTAAGACATTAGGATGAGAGAAACAATTCTAGGCTGTGTGTTAGAGCCACAGTTCCCAATAACATTCAAAGATTCAAAAAGTAAAGATGCTTACACTGTAGCTTACGAAATATTAATATTAAAACTTTCTATAAATTATTTCAGAATAATTTACAATTTATATTTTTATATATTAAATACGTATTTTTACTGTTTAAAATGTAAAAGTAAACAATTACATATGGTTTTAAATATTAACACTAATCGTATAATTTATGTAAAATATTTATATAAATTAAGTAATTATATGTAATAATTAATAATTCATTTAACTCATTTTGCATAAAAAATATATCTCTTTCCTTATATATATGAGTTAAACAATTTTATTTGAATTTTAAAATTTTGTATGATTTCCATGACTAAATGAATATCACATAAAAATCAATAAAAATATATTAAAGAAATTACAATATCATTTGTCTTATACAATGTTTTATTTTTTTATATTATATATTAAATTCTTAAATATAAAAAATAGATAAAATTATTTAAGATAACATAAGATTATATAAGATGATTTAAAATAATGTATTAAGTAAATTATATATACATAAATATATTATATATATCTAATCATACCAAAAGTAAATAAAATATTACATCATCTAGAATAAAGCAGCCTCTATTATTTTATCCCTTTTACTTACGCATTTATGACCATACACATAATATCTTAAAGGTTTGTGTGCCCATTCATCTCCAGCACTTTTAATTCCAATCCTTGGGCACTCAACTATTTTCATTTCCTCCTGTATTACATTATCTTCTATCCAAAGTCCATTCCAATCACACATTGAATATTTACTATGCTTTTTCTCAATTTGCATTGATATACACATTTTTGATGGTCCATTACATAAATCATGTATTTTTAATTCTTTTAATAATTTTTTGGGTGATTTTGAATGTACCTTATCATTGCGGTTTTCTCTCATCTGTGCTATACCTTCTAAAGGTTCTAGAGATCTGATAAGTACTGCACTTCCTTTTTCTGAAAATTTTAATTTTCTAATCACTATGAAAAGTAATTATTATACACATAGTTTGTATTTTAGTTTTAGAATTTAATGGTATATATTTCATATAAAATGTTTGCATTAACATCTATATATTGTTTATAACATCTATAGAACTAAAACTATTATAAGACATCATTAAATTCAAAATATTTTTAAACATTTTTTTTCATTTATGAATGTTAATTTTTATAAAAATTTTGGTTCCATTTAATATATATTTTTTAACAACAAAAATTGCAAATAATTATACATTTAATCCAAAATTCATCATTATTGTATGCTTTTAGATTATACATTATATTGCTTATTTTATTTATTTGATTCTAATATTTTTAATAGCTCCATATATTTAAATTCATGAATAGCTTGACTATTTTAATTAGTCTATATTTATAATTAATTATAATGTTGAATAATTATGCTTCAAAAATAAAATACATTAGAATTACTGTTTTAACATTCTATTTTTTATAATATTATACATATAAATTTGATCAGTACCTTGACTAGATATATTGAAGCAATGGTACATTCCATAAGTAATATATACATAAATTGTCCCAGGTAACATATACATAGGTATATTCCTAGGTGTTACTTTCCCTTGATATGTATGTGAGGCTTTATCTGCAATACCTAAATAACTTTCTGTTTCTACAATCTTTCCTTTTAAAATTATTCCATTGTCAAGTTTTCTAACAAGAATTTTTCCTACAAAATTTACAATTAAAAAGTGTTATAATCACAAATATATATAAATACATATGTTTGTTCAATTAGTCTTAATAAATATTTTTATATTGTACATGCTCTTGTATAATACTTTAAATATCAATTAATTTAATAATTAAATTTGACGTAAAATCAATTTTTCTTCAAATAAATATTCTCTAAATATAAAGTATAAAAATACATTTACCCAGTATATTTTTGGCTAATATTGTACAGGGTACATTATAAAATGAAAATGGAAGTCTGTTAGCACAAATTTTTCTTTCCCATGGAGTAATAGGAGGGTCCTTCAATTGTTGCAAATCAGCTTTTATCAACTTTAAATCAACGATTCCTTTAGATTTTTTAACATCTGATTCTGCTATTAGTTTGTAGGTGATTTTTTTTTGTGCTAAAAATATTTAATTGCTAAAGTTTTTATAGTTTAAAAAATTGAAAAGAACATTATTTATAACTTACGGCTTAAAAGAGATTTTAAATTTAATTTTTGTGTCGATTTGTTATTTCCTTCTTTCATGATATTATGTAAATGTTTTCTACGGAACTACTAACTTATATAAGCTATAAATGACAATAAATAATTTCTTAATATTGTCTTTATGTCTAATATAATACCTGACATTTAACCTTTAGGATGTAGCATATTTATTCATTACCAAAAGATTATTGATTAATTTATTAAGTATAACAAAATTCTATTTAATCTATCTGTAAAACCTAATTTGAATATTTAAGTTTTTTTCTAAAACTTTTTCATAATTTTAATTCTGTCAGGGATAGGAAACTAGGTTAGGTTGGTTATACAAATAAGTACAGATTTGGTTGGGTTGATATTTGGGCGATACGATGTCGTGAAAATTAAACGAAATTTATAATTTAATGGTGTTTATTATTATTTTAAATTAGTATAACTCCATTGAATACTTTTAAATTAACGACAAAACTAATTCTAAAAAAATAAATATGAATAATATATTTATATCTTTATATTCAATGTGTGTATTATCTATGATCTTTGAATTTTTATATTAGTTCTAATTAATTCATATTTATATTCAAATTTAAATTCAACTCATTTATATTATTTATATATATGTATATTAATTGTATTATATATTTATAATAATTAATATGCCTAACCCTCTATTCAATCAATTTAAACAACTTGCAACTATGTATATATAAATAAGTGCTTATTCGATTTACTTCGGTTAGTTATAAGTAAAGATGTATTAATCATCTATACTTCGTATATTGCAATCTTTTCTCTAAACTAGAGAATACTAGTTATTTGAGTATTATTTAATTATGATTGAAAATATTTGTTGCATGAAATTTTAACGAATATAACTTTGTATTATAAAATTAAATAATTAATTTTGGCTTAATTAAGTATTTATACAAAATTGAAGTAGATATAATATATATAAATTTTAATGCATTGCAGTTGCAAAAAAAACGACATTCGTAAAATATTTTACAAATACACTATTTATTGAATATTGATAAAATAATAACAGCAAGTATTCAAATTTTAAATTACTTCATTGCTGTAAATTTGTTATATAATATTGAACAATTTGTTTCCAAATTCCGTAGACCAAACTCTGACGAGGAGGAGTATTTTTAATTAGTATTCTGCAAGTGTAAATACACATATTCGTCGATCATACTATTTACAGAATATTTATGGATAATCGATAATATTAGCATATTTAAAAAATATGCTTATTAAATATATAAAAAATATATTAAATAATTGTACAAAAGAAAACAATAAAAAAAATGCACTTCTTGACTAAATTAAGGAACTACTTTCAAAACGACATATTATTGCCTTGGTAATAGATTAATAATTACCAATAATCATATTGTTTTTTTATTGTTTTATATAAAGACATCCATTATTTTAGATGTTTTAGTTTATAATAATTAACAAATTATCAGAATGTTAAATTTATTGGAACTTATACTAAGGAACAATCAATTATACAATATAAGAATTACCTAGTAGTCATTAATGTGAGTTTTTAACAATATAAGAAATACTTGAGGAAATAAAGAATCTTGTTTTGTAATTGTCAGCAAGACAGATGTTTTATTTTTGTTGTTTAATTGCTGTTATGTTAGTGTTCAGCATAACTGCATATGCGAGTAGCAAAGACACAAAATTCATCCATCCATGGACAATATGAATCCACCGCAGAAGCAACTTGTCAATAAAGTTACTAAGTATATAATTGGATGAACAGGATCGTCAGAGCTAATTATACTTGTGAACTCATGCGTTGGACATTTGCATGTACGAGCTTACTTCAAAGTCAAAAATTAAATACACTCATTATCAAAATCATTTGTATATCAAGATAAAAATTAATATTTTAGGATATATTATTATTATCTTTAAAATTACTTATGAAATGCAAGTGTGGCATAGTTCATGTTAGTTTGAAAGAAAGACACCTTATTGCTACGACGTTTTACTTTTTTATGTTTATCCTATATATACTAGGATAATTTAAATAAGTTTGCTTTGAATAATCAATATACATTATAAAAAATGTTACTGAATCCTGCAAATAGTTTTTATTGTAGGTAAGCTTGTTTAAGCTTTTAATTTAAATTCCATATTACTATTAAATATTTAATAAATACAGGATAGATGATAAAATATAAGTTATGATTTCTTAGAATTTCATTTTTATATTACTTTAATATTTAGAATGTAATTTTTAAAAATATTATAATATTTTGGAAAAAGACCTTCTAAGAGTTCCCGCACTTATTTCGTTAGATAATTGTGTGTTGACTGGGTGTGCCAATGGCTCGAACCATTTACTTGACTTTAGTTCTCATAATAATTTTGATTTTTTTAGTTAGAGTGTATTAGATATATTATCCAGTACCATATCTTTGACGGCACGGTGTAAGAACAATAGAGTTAAATAACCATAAATGTTTAAAGCAGCACCAATACTACTATTATTAAAATTTTAAAAGTTAATATAAAGCAATCATGAAATAAAATAATCATTCTGTTAAAATTTCTTTTATATATTTAAAACAATAATTTTTATTGTAAAATGTTGAATATAAGAATTAATGAAAATCGGTGGTTTTGATTTTAATAATTTTGTATATAATTTATAGTTAAAATACAGAACTAATATTGAATGAACTTCGATAAACTATAAATATATATATATTTGTTCGTACCTATAATATAAAAATATTACTTTTAATGAAAATATATTAAGTTAATTTTATTCTTATGAAATATTTAATTAGTCCTATTAATAAAAAAAACACAATAAAAAGTCCATTCAAAAGGTATAAAAAATTTTTTAATTTACATATAATTATGTAAATAAAAATCCTTGAAGTTGTTATAAATAATTTAGCGAACATTTTACTTTTAGAGAATTTGCTTATACTTTGTTTTCTTTTTTTAAAGTTTATCCGTTGAATTTTTCGATTTTCTCATTAAAAAACAAAATCCTATAACTTTCTGAATTGGTGATTCATTCTAAAATGACTAGAAATTGGATTGCAAATCTTTTAAAACACGCTAGTATCCATAATTAAAATTAATTTTCTACTTTTTTATTTATAGAATTTCTGATATTCCATTATAAAATTTTAAATTTAATATTTTATTTATGTATTAATAATTGGATTAATATTAATTTTAAAGTATATGTTGCTATCGTATATTGATTATTATATTATTAACTGAAACGAAGACTGATTTCATTTTTATCAAGTACCTTAATGTAAGTGAATTGTTACTTCATTCATATATAACAGAAATAAAATGAAAATTTGTGTTTCTGATTAGTATATTGTATGTAAGTCTTTGACACGATTGTTAAACATTTCGAGTATTTAAAGACATACGCTTAAGGTTTTCCTTTGAAGCTTAAGAAGCATGTAGAAGAAGGTGCTTAAGTACTTTGAAGAAGACTGTCAAGGCTTAATAGCTCTAGATGGTCGCGGAGAGCTACGACTTCTGTCTACGAAATCCCCACGTATGTCAGAATTAAATAATTCGGGAATTGTAAAACATATTTTTGTATTCGTTCATTCATAATTAGCAGTACATATAAAATAATGAAATACATCTAGACTTCATTTTTGGATTTATTGTTTCATGTGTGTTTCACATGTAAGATTATTTCACGAAAAGAATTCAGTGATAGTGATTTATTAGTTATATACGCGAGGAAAAATATTCATTATTTTATCGATAATAATTATGTGATCTCAAATACCATTATAAATGATTGGGATTTTATTTTATTGAAATTAATAATTATCTTCGATAAATAATATTATAAAATACAAGTTGCAAGTAAGGCAGGAAATAAAATAATAATAATAATTTAGCACGATAATTTTTGCTATTATGTCTGATTATTTATTAAATTCCATTATAAATATATATCTATCAGATTTTATTTTCACATCATTTTTCTATAACAATTTTAAGTTCACATACGATCATTTGATGTTATAGAATTTGATTTCCATTATACAGCTTTATTATATCGTTGCAACAGTTTTGCCTCTAGTCGCTTGATTGCTTCTAGTCCTGATTATTAAACTTTACTCAAATTTATTATATAAATAGAGTAGTAATAAATTATATTGTTTATAAAAAAATCTACATCAATATACAGCATGTACAAATATTTTTGGAAATAATAATTTTTATAAAATGTATAGATATTTAACAAATTTATATATTTTAGTTATTCCGATAGCCATATATAATATTAATTTCAAATAATATATTCAAGATTAATGTTTAAATAACTATAATTGTTTAATTAGATTATTTATTAATCTTTACTTAAAATATCTGTAGCGACAGTACCAGTCTCAGGCACTATCACTCACACTCTACTTTTTCTTTCCTCTGCAGTATGCAAATTTTTCATTCTCTTTCTCACTCTAAACCAATTGTACACACCTTTACTGTAGTCACGATGTGCACGCAATTATGCACCGGATGAGAGGGGATTTCGTGAAGAATCAAGGGTTGATCTTTCTCGAACATCTTAGACGTCGGATTTTCATTCATAAGTTAGTGGGCTTTCATCTTACCCCCCCTCCCCCCCTCCCCATGCTTTCTGATTACCGTGATTCAGAACTGCATGTAATGGGCTAAGTTTATAACTTTGCTTGGTATACACGTATTGCATGTAAATTTAGTTAAACTACTATTTCTTATATGTATTCATATTTTATATGAAAGTTAAATATCCTTGCCACACGCCTTGTCACATGCGAGTCTAATATCAGTTTATTTCTTATTGTTTTTTTATATGTTACTGCTTTAATACAAGTACAGCGATTAGTACACTTCATATAGATTAAAATTCTTCAGTTAAAATTTGTGTGAAATAGATTTTCAAAATATTATAATTATTTTAACTGAATAATAAATAAAATATCATATTAACGAAATAATACAGTTATAATTTTAATTTATTAATTTATGAAGATTTTATGGATGTTATTATTTTGTATTATTTTATATATTATTATACATTATTCGTATTATTAACACATTTTATTAAAAATATGTTTAATTTCTTAATATTTCCTAATAGTTTGGTTAAATCATACTGTTTAAATAATTTATGGAATTCTTTTAAAAATTTTCCATTTTGATAT